TTGAAATTGATAATTTTGTATTTTATATCTCTTAAAGTTTTGATTTAAAACATACACAATAAATATTAATTTAAATCACTTTTTATAAATAATTGTTAGAATTTTATTTATCAAAAAATTTGAAATTTTTTTGTTGCTCTAGTTTTTTTTATTGAAATTAGAAAAAAAATATTCTTTGATGATTTTTAAAATATTTAAAAAACAATTAAATTTTATATATTAAAAATTAATTTTTTTAAACAAAAATTTTGATACATCTATTAAAATATGAACTTCAATACTCTTAATTTAAGCCATTAAAATAATCTTCCCCATCATTTTTTACAGTGTGTTTCTAAAAATTAAAACACCTTAGATCCTAAAAATTTAATTAATCTAATTTTTTTTCCTATTTACACTTTTTTCCTCCGTCAATAAAATTCCGTTAGTATGAGGCCAGTAAAATAACACTTTAATAAATTAAATTTTCATGGCCTTTAAACGGGCTTAACGTTCTAATTGATCAACTCTAAACTATAAGATAAATAATATCCTTAATTAATCTATAAAACAAGTACAATTTGATAATTAAATTCCAACTTATAATTTTTTTTACTTTTCAGTTCTAGATAAATTTAAACGTCTAGTATATTTATTAGTTTTCTAAACTAATAAACATAAGTTACAAGTAATAATTCGTAATTAAATTAAATATTCTTCCCAAGAACTTGAATCCGCGTAAAGAAGCGGGGAAATGAAATTATAAAAATTCTAATTGAAAATAAAAGGAGCAATCAAACGATTTTATATTTAATAGCTCATTACTAAAGGTGCATGCTTTTTATCACTCGCCTTGTACCTCGTATTGCATTATAATTATAGCTTAGCAAAAAATCGTTCTATAATTTTATTTAAATACTCAAGCGACGTTTAGAGATCAATATCGCATTGAACAATTTCACGGGATTTTATATTTTATATATAATAATATAATACTCCTATTGTTGTTTGTATATTTGATATAATACTAGCTATGAAAAAATATTTCAATAAAAAAATTCCACTTCACTGATTCTCATTCCAATGCGATCATGTTTCTCAATTGCATTTATGACAATAAAATTTTTGTAAAAAAATTATTAAATTTTATAAAGAGCTTGTAAGATATCTTGCGAAGAAAAAAATTCTTCCTAAGGATTGAATAATTTAATTATTTACTTATTCAGAAGCTGTAGACACAACAACCTAACTTGATTTTCCCGTCGCAATCCGCAAGTTGATACCCTCTTTAATTACTGTCGTCTAGCGCCGGTAATTTGTCAATTTATCGAACAATTGAGCACCGAATGATCTAATAGAATTGGATGTACGGCATCAATAATCCTCGACAGTAAATATTCGCAATAATAAAACTCAAGAAAGAAATAAATCATTCGAATAAGTGTCTAATGGGTCAGAAAAATGAAACACGAACAAAAATAAAGTTTCATAAGTACAACTAATTATCCTATGAACTCGCATCGGATTTTACATATCAGCGAGTTTCACTCTAGAACAATACAACTTAGTTAAATTTGCGGTGAAGTATTTTATTTTATTTTCAGGCTTCTTTGGAGTAAAATTAAAATTTTTTCTTTAGCAAACTAAACTAGTCAACTGTCTCGTCATAATCACTCAAATATAAACTTTCTTGACGACCATATTATAAATTTTCAATCAAACCCCTGGCTTTCAGCGTAAACATTAAACTTTATGAATTTGTTATTTATTTTGTGAAAGGATATTTAAGTACTTTTTTATCTTGTTTTATTTATCGATAATTACACCATACCAATATTTTCTTTTTAAACCATTTTAATTTTTAAATTTTCTAAATAAATTTTACTCGGCTTCGCTCAAAAACTTGGTAATAAATTTCTTTACATCGAAGGGCTCCGGCTGAATGCTCGCTATTGTACCGCACTTTGTACAATAAAATTAAACAAAAACATTAAAAACAATGCCACGTAATTTTACACAACAAAAATTTTTAATTAACGTAATTTTTTTTCTGTTCCTCTACTTCAATAATTCATAATAATTTTTTTACGTCAAAATAAAAAAGATATATCTAAAACATAAAATAATTTTTTTTTCCCTACCCTCTAATTAATTTCGTTAAAAAAAAACATAAACCTCCTTTCACCAATAAAAATAATTTTCAACATTTCATCTCCAGTTTAAAATAAAATAAAACATAAATTTAATTACAAAAATGTCACGGAATAAATTTTATCACCTAGATATTCAAAAAAAATGAAAAAAAACTCACCTTCCACTGCTTTCTCCTGCTGAGGGCTCGCCGTCACGCTAAACAATCTGGTGTTTGTTACTTGATGTATCCGTCAGCTAGTCATCGTGAGAATTGTAGCAATCTCCTCCAATAATCACCACTTGATTAAAAACTATCAAAAAAATCAGCTATTTCTTCTGATAGCAACCGCTAAAAAATATATTTCCCGAACTCGGCTCTGTCATCTCGACTCTAGTAAATACAGATAAAAAATAATTAATTAAAAATAAACTTATTAATTCACTTAGTCATACATTCACTATTATTGTCAATATTAATTATTATTAATTATTTAATACTATTTTTATTATTATTATTATTATTATTATTAATATAATTATTATTTATTCAGTATTATAAAAATAACTAGTGATTTATAATTAATAATCGCGATTAAACAAAAATAACTACGATATTCTACGCAGCTACGCACGAAGCCTGCAAACTCACCACGGTCGCTACACTAACTGGCGGCCAGTTCAATTTTGAACATAAACATTCACTACCGGCCAATCCTGTACACAGCAACACTGTCACTACGCATGATTCCCGATAACTCATCTAACCGCCATTTTACATTCAAATCTCATCACTATTATTTCTGTCACTCAGTTATTATTGATCCAGATATTAGCACTCATTACTCACTACTTAAAAAAAGCATTATTTGTAAATTAATCAATAATCTATAATATATATCATTTACTCGTCATAAATATTTATGAAAAAAAAATAAATCAATTAATTTACATTACACGGTAGAAAAAATTCGAAATTTTTGCATAAAATTTTTCATTAGCATATTATTGATTAATTAGGGAATAATTTTTTTATATTTATTGATATCGAGGTAGCAGTCAACTAAATAAAGCTATTTTGAGTGATATTTTAATTAATAATCAATTAATAATCGGAAAAAATTGATTAAATAGATGAGATTTGACGACATCTACAATTACGTGTCCGTTAGGTTCGGATGAAGATGCTGGACTGTAACAACTGTACGTTGGGAGTTAGGTATATGATTTGAATTTGAACGACCAATCAGGAGCTTGTATTCTTCTAGGATTATCTTAAGGTTAAATCTGATTGGCTCAAAGATTTATTCCTGAATTTCAAATTCTGGCCAATAAGAGAGCTGGATTTAAAGCGGGAAAATTTGAAATTTATTTTTTTATTAAATAGATTTTTTGATTTAATAGTTATTTACATTTAATTAGAATAATAATCACTTTAAACAATTAAATTATTACTGGGTGGTAAACTATAATGAAAAATGAAAAATTATTTTGAATTTGTTCTTCTAGAATTATCAAAATTAAATCTGATTGACTGAAAGATTTATTCCAGAATTTCAAATTCTGGCAAATAAGAGAGCTGGATATTAAGCGGGAAAATTTGAAATTGTTTTTTTGAGATATTTAATAATTATTAAAATTTAATTGGAAAAATAATTACTTTAACTACTTAAATTATTACTGGGTAAACTACAATAAAAAATTAATAATTATTATGAATGAAAAATTAAACAATGTTTCTTATAATAAATTTCTACATTAAAACTCGGAATAATACATTTTGGTAATAAAATTTGTAATAATTAAATTAGATTTTTTTGTAATAAGATGAACAATAAATCGATAAATTGGCGATATATTTAATTGCAAAGGCTTAAACTACTAATTAAAATAATGGTCAAGTTAACTCCAGCAAGAAAGCTCTTAGTACTTGAAATAATTTGATATAAATTCCACTAAAACCCCATTAAGATTGTTGAGGAACTTGAGTAACTAGTAAGTTCTTGAAATTCTTGGTAATTGTATCACAGTAACTTAAACTCTTGTTAAATTAGTTGCATACCAATAATACATACAGTAAAAATAAATAAATACCCATTTTATTTGATACAAAAAAATTCATTTTAAATTATTTATCTTGTATAAAAGTTGATTATTAAAGAACACTTTACATACACAGTTATTGTTATTGTAATTACATAATTAACAATAGCGACAAATGAGCAAACAGAGTGATGACAACTTTGTTTTTTTTTTCAACAGGACGAAATCTGATTTATTAGAGCCCTAAACTATTACATTTCCTACTTTAAACGTTTATGAATTAAAACAACATAACTTTTTTTTAAACAATCAAATTTTACTTATCTGAATAAATATAAATAAGTTCTATTTTTTTTTTTTTAAATAAGAACATAATTAAGAGTAAACTCTTAAACAAAAAAAAATGACACTTTAAATACAAGACAGCGCTATCAATTATTCCTTAAATAATTGACTTTTATCTATTTTTTCAGTCAGTTAAGTAAATCAACATCTATAATTTCAATTGAATATTTTTCTATCTTTTAATATTTTACAAACTAAAACAAATGCATTACCAACTTTTAATTTGTCAAACCACAATTAAATAAAATTCAGTAAATTGTTCATTGATTAAAAAATAATAATTGCAACCAACAAGCTGCATCAATATGACATGATAAATATATTTAATAAATATACGACTCAAAAAATTCTTTGATTCTTTGTACCTGCTTCACATTTATCTTTAAATAATATTATTCCGTAAATAATTACTATTATAATAGTCAATAAAAAATCTATTCGTTGAGATCGACGCGATCAAACATAAAATAAATAAAATAAAATATATTAATTTTAATATATATTTAATTTAATTGGCCAGCTAATATCTCTTCTTGTTGGATTTTTTTTCTGTAATTATCTAACGTTACTTGGATTGTTTTCTCCGAGTATCGACAACTTAATGCACCACATGTACACGTAAATGATTTATATTTTATTATCCAAAACTTTTCTCCATAATCGAATCTGTAAGGTATAATAACAAAATTATTAATTAATTTAATAAATATTGTCATGAATTAATTTTCTAAATTAATTTTTAATTTACCCGAGTTCTTCGTCAGCTTCAATATTACGATTTGCGAAAAATGCTATCCTAGGAAAATGTAAATCCTGATGCTCAACGAAAACACGTACTGGAAGTAAGTTAGGAGCACATGAATGATTTATAAAACGTGCTAGATTACCATATCGCCTTGCATCAATACAATAAGTCTCTCCATCCTTAAAAAATATTCAACAGTTAAAAAAATCAATAAAATAATTTGATCCTTTAATTTTATTATCAATGCTTACTCGATTATCCAAATCAAAAAGGTAAGAATCATCTTCACGATGATCAGCTTCTGAATCAGATATTATCTCCCCGACATATTCACAGACGTAACTACCTTTAGGTATATGGCGTAAACTTCTTAGACCCCATCCTTTCCCTTTCGTTCTAAATAGTTGGAATCGCTGAGTCAATCCATGTTGAACTACACGGTTATTGCACGTTATTCTATTGCAAGCACAGGCTTGATTACACTCAAATAACATTGGTGGATCTGTAAAAAAAAAAAAAATTGCAATTTAAGAACATTTTATTTTTTTTTTAATAAATAAATAAATAAAATAAAATAATTTAAAAGAATAAACTTACCAGCATAATTAAACTCCGGAATTAATTTTCCTTCTTCATCATACCAACATCTTAAACTAATATTACCACAAAGACATTTTTCCGAGCTACAATTATCTTCGCAGTGACAGGACTGCAACGAAGTTATTGTTCTATCGACATTAATATTACTTGTAAAACAATTTTCCACAACATACAAAAAATCAGTGGGCTTATCCTCAGAATCAAACCCATTAACACACTGTATAGGATTTGATTCTTTACCACGGGAAATATCATTAGTAAGAATTCTTGTTGTTTTTTCCCACATATTCTCTGACAATTCAATAACTTTGGCATTTAATCTCAACGCTGCCATGGTATCACCATCAGTCGTGCAGCAATTTATAGCCGTCTCTCCAGCAGCATTAACTTCTGATACTTTGGCACCGCGTGCTAGCAACAAAACGCTAACAGCATACTGGTCCTGTCGTGCTGCTATATGTAACGGAGTGTCACCATGAACATTAACAGCATTGACATCGCAACCTTCGTTCAATAACATCTCTGTAATCTCAGAACTACCGCTATAAGCACTCCAGTGCAAGGCTATATTTTGTTCGGCGTCTCTTATCAAAGGATCACATTTTTTCTCTATTAAAAATCGTGCTACGTCTGTATGACAGAATTCACAAGCCCAAATTAAACTCGTCCATCCACCATCATCAACAGAATCTAAAAAAAATTTTTTTATTATATAAAAAATATTAATTTTTTTTATTATATAAAAAAATATTAATTAAAGGCAAAAAAAAAAAATAAATACACACCTACTAAAGTCCTAGGCACTTTACATTCAGACAAAATAATCTTACAGGACTCAAGATGTCCAGACTTAGCAGCCATATGTAAAGCAGTCATACCATCTTCTCCCTTAAGCGTAACGTCAGCACCAACACGTACTAAATAACGTACAATTTCAGTCTTTCCTTCCATTGCAGCTAGCATCAAAGGTGTCAATTGATTTTTATCCAAAACATCTAATTGAGCACCAGCTTGAACCAGCGCATGAACACATCCCAAGTGACCGCGGTCGGCAGCTATATGAAGCGCTGTACGATGTGAGTACTCACGAAATGAGTGATTAGCATTATAACCACAGGCTAAAACACGATCAATCCATTAATTAATTGATTAACTAATCTATATTATAATATTAGTCATGAATTATTAATTGATTGGATAGTTACCTAAAACATTGACTAATTTATCTAAATCGCCATTTTTAACAGAAGTATAAAGACTTATAATAGTAAATCGCTCTGGACGTTCGTTGGCATTCACAGTGACTTCAGGTATCTTAATATCCTCCGGCTTTACCAAAGGACTCGGTGGTCTTTCCGCGAGTTTAGTGTTATCACCCTTACCAGGCAAACTCATTTTCGCAGAGGGAAGTTTCGAAAATTTTCTCCTTGTAGGAATATAAACAGGCTTACGAGATCCCGTCATGGTTATCAAAACGTCGACATTAGACGTCTCATTGGCACAGTGAGGACAAACAGGTTTTTTGTTGACGTAAACTTCACAGTCACGATGAAATTGATGTCCGGTTATACATTGTACAAATTTACCTTGAGTACAAAATAAACCACACGACGGACAGCAATTGTGACGTAATAAGCGTTCTTTATGAGCACGGCATAAAATAATAAATGGCACTCGTGTACTCGGCCGTCTCATTGCTACGTCATTGCCATCTACTTCATTACAACATCCTATTAATCTGTTGTCTATTGAATCTATCGCTGTGCAAAATAGCGGGGTTCCTGATCCTGTTATCGTTACGTATAGCTGCGATCTCACTTGACACAAACATATCATCGATTGTTCATAAGTCTATTTAATAAAAAAAAATCAAGTTATTAATCAATATTAATATTCAATTTAATTTTCACTTTACCTCACTAAATACTGCTGATGATTCTGGTTTTGATGCTTGTCCCTCAGCTGGACTGGGACTTGGCACCATAGTTCTACGAGTTCTTTTCATTGGGACGTGATATTCTGAAATGAAATATCAATTCTTTATAAATAGACATTTCAAATATTTGTTCTAGATCTTTTTTAATATGTATGTAATTATCATAATTTACAGATAAAACTTGATAAAGATAAATTGAATTTCTTAGAAAGTACAGATACTTTTTTTACATATTAAAAATTAAAAATTAAAAATTTTATTTCATACCTTCTGGATAGTCATTATTTTTTCCAGCTTCTGCAGCTGAAGATCCATCTAAAATATAAGGTAATGATTAATTATCTTAATTAATATTTAAGTTCTCGTCCATATTTTAAAATAATTAAATGACTAAATCTTGGGAATTTGGATAATAAATTATGTTAAATTATAGGAACATTTTGCATTTATTATCCAAATTCCCAAGATTTAGTCATTTAAAAATTATTTTTATCATAATAAATCTATTGATTATAAATCAGGTTATTAATTGAATTAAAATTAATATTCAAGGTCAAAGATATAAAAATGATTAGCTCACCTTCAAAAGAATCATTTTTAATAATTTTCCTAACATAGCTATTATTCCTAGGTCTTCCACGGTCCTTCTTCCTTCCCGCGGGTTTCAAAAACGGTTTATCAACATCCGAAGCCGAGCTATCATCAACAGTTTCAATCTTAGCCGGTGAATCTTTAACCATAGGCGACAGTTTAGGCATACCCTCATACTCAACCGACGAATTTTGTGGATCCTCAATCAAAGATGTATCATTAGCAGTACTATCTCCCGGACTGGAGACTTTAGAATCATTAATAGAATTGTCAGAATAATTATTGTGCTCAGTATAAGAGTTAACAACTTTAACTTCCTTAACATTAGCCCGTCTAGGTCGACCCGGCTTAGTGTATTTCCGTTTTTTATTCTCTTCAGTAGAATAAGACTTTTCTTTAATCGCCATGGCACTTTCTAAGACCGTGCTCTTGCCAGATTCCTTACAAAGTCGGCGAGCGGACCGTTTTAGACTAGGTGTTTCTTCAGTTGAGTCACTAAAAGCTCTGAATCTCGTCCTTCTCCTCCGCTTTCTCGTCGAAGGTTCCTGATTATCACCAGTAGTGACACCAGATGATCCTTCTTGGTCTTCTTGATCTTTCTTCTCTTGATCAACTACCGCAGGTTCAATTGAAGCTATTTCTCCTTCAATTAAAGGATCACTTCTCACAGTGTCATCAACTGAATTAATTTCAGCAGGTTTCTCTGCTAGCTCTTCAGCTTGAACTTCAGTTTCTTCATTTTCAACAACAGCATCAACTAAATTATCATCAGTAATCACCTCGGCTTGCTGCTCTTGTTCCTGATCTTTCTCATTGCAATCCGACTTGACCTCTTCATCATGTTCATCATTATTCTCTTCAACATCTGACTTTTCAACAACATCAGAATGATCATCAGAGTGTTCAATCTTAACCGAGACGCCGCCAATTTGGTCGCAATTACTAAGTTCATCCGGTACTAAGCTTAAATTAGAAGCGCAACTAGATATTTTAGTCTTCCTGCCATCATTAGTCGTTTCATCAATCGTCCTAAAGGTCAAAACAATCCTTGGAATGTTATCCTTTTTGGTTTCAGCTCGAGGCAACTCAATAATTTCCGGATCTTCAAGGCTCTCAACCAGTCCCACTTCTTCCTGTTCTTCTCCCTCTCCCTCTTCTTCTTCTTCTTCTTCTTCTTCTTCTTCTTCTTGAGGTTCAGCTTCAGCTTCAACATCATCTTCTTCTTCTTCAATCTGCTGATGATCTTCAGCGTTAATACTATTAATATCCACAGACTCAGACTCTTTGTCTAGACCAATATCATTAATTTGATCATTATCATCGTCATTATCATTATTAATATCCTCTTCATCTAAATACTCAGCATCAGTACCGATCTTAGAGCTATTATCATCTTGTTGCTGTTCCTCAATACTCTTAGCAGCTGAATTGTTATGAATACTTCGATTAAACTCATTGGTCATGCCTTCTAATATTTTTTGTATACTAACTTTATCACCTACAGCATTTATAGTCGCCATATCATCATCCTCAAGCTCTTCTTCCGGACAACCCTCCTTACTCATATCTTTTTCTTCGGACATTTTTTACTTTTTTAACAATGTCAGCCAACCAACATCTTCTACGGACTAATTTACACCGCACATTACCTATCACAAATACAAAATTTATTTTATTAATACGTACATTTTTATTATTTATTTATAACAAAAATATAAATCGGCTTCAGTCATCGCTCTTCGGCAGCAGTTCACTATTTATTTTCAGCCTTCTCGATAAATTACTACCTAACTAATTAAATAAAATTGTAAGTTACTTCAATAATGTCTACTTGATAAATCTGACTTATTTTTATAAATTAATACAATAGTGTTTTTGTTAAAAAATTTATGAAAAATATTACCAACTCGCGTGCCCCGACCACGGCACGGAGGCCATATTGATTTCTCAGGGACGGGCCGATCCAAATCCAACTAAATATTTTACTTTTTTTTATCTATCTTTTAAAACTTTATATCTTTTATTTTTATTAATCACTAATTATTATTATATATTATTATTTAAATAGATTTTTGAATTTAAGTATTGTTTTTAAGGTTATGGTAATTTTTTTATTATTATTTTCTTTGTTGTTTACATGTAAATCTCGCAAAACATATTGGTATATATACGATTTTTATTTTATTTCTGTAAGATTGTATAGAATTACCTTGCGCATTCAATGTTATAAATATAATTTATTTTTAATTACCAAATCTTTTTTTATTGTCAACATATGATTTTTTATTAATAATAAAACAGCAGGTATCTGTCAAAAAAAAAAAACAAGTTTAATTTTGGAAAAACTAAAAAAATTTTGACGTTTATTTTTATTTTATTTTACAAGTTTTTTTCTTTTTTATTAAAATAGTAAAAATAAAATTTTTTTTTTAATTTTAAAAATTAAAATTTTAATAAATAATAACAATTTTATTAAAAAACTTTTTATTACAATAGTCCATTATTAGAATTGACAATCAATTGTTTATTTTTTCAAGAAACAAAGTCTTTGTTATAAAAACTTATCAAAGACCCGACAAAAAATTTCTTTTTTATTTAAAATATATGATTATTATAAATATAAAAAAAAAAAATATAGTTTTTTTGAATATTAATAAATTTAACTAATCAAAATATAAATTATATGCATAAAAACTAATTTGCAAATTATAAATTTAGTTTTTAAATATAAATTATGAGTAAAATAAAAATTATTAAATTTATATATCATAATAAAGTTAGCCGACACTTTTATTTTGTTTAATTTATTAAATTATAAATAAAAAATATTTTTAAAAAATTGCACTTATAGTTTTTGAAGTTTTTAACAAATGAAAAATTTTTTTTTTAATAAAAAAAGTCATAAAAATTTTTAAATATCAGCTAACTTTATTTTCATAATTTATATTAATATTAATAAGCAAATAAATCAAACAAATAAATATAAAAATCAATGTAATTATAACAAATATAGAAAAAAAATAATAAACTCAAAAAATCGATTTTACTTGGCATGCGTGAATTATTTTATTCAGGCTATTGAAGACATTCCACGTATGCAAAATTATATAAACATACCTGTACATGAATGTATAAATAAATAAAGATGTAATTGATAAAAATTTAGGGGAGGATTTAGGAAGAAAAATAAAAAATAAATGTCGTATAAATATAAGTTTATTTACATCGCAACAGATACTCTGACAGAAGTAATTGTCGGTACGTACGTACGTGTACGTGTGTGTGTGTGTGTGTGTGTGTGTGTATGTTTATCATATAGAGTACTATTTATTGTATTAAATGAATATCGATTAAAATTAATAATTACAATTTATCTTCATCCGCAATGCATTTATCAATTAAATAATATACAATTTTATTATTTTATATCTCTGTTAATTAATATATTTACTTTTTATAATAATAATAATAATAATAATCAATGCCGTAAGGCTTGTGCATTTTTTTACATCGTGAATATTTTATTCACGATTACAAATATATAATAGTTTATCGATCTCTTGTAATTGTGTACAAAAATTTACGTATTTTTTATCAAGTCATACAATCCCCCTTACAATTATTCATTAATAAATAAATCAGAGTGATTATCAAAATTTTTTATCAATTAGTAATGCCGAGATATAATTAAGCTCAATATTTTTTTATGTAATTCAATTTTATAAATATTATAGTAATTTTAGAAAAGACATAAAAATTTTCACAAATTTTTCTTTATTTTAATAAATTATCGCGCGTATTTTTTTCAAATATTTAATTTTTAATTAAATATTTTTGAAAAAAAATATTAATTTAAATAGGCCGTGATTTAATTTTTTCACTTTATTTTAATATTTTAATTTTGCAATTTTGCTCGATTTTCTAATTATAATATAAAGCAACATAATTATATAATTAAAATATTTTCCAATTGAAAATTTTAATGAAAAACGATACCGCGTATTTTTTCAGAACCCGGAAATTCTTTAATAATAAACTTTAATTAGTTTATTAATTAAATATACTCGAATTTTTTTTTTGACAAGCGATATAAAAAGTTGAGCAGATTGTTACTGATTTAAATACAAATAGGCGATACAAGAGGCATTGAAAAATTTTAATATATAATTTCTCTCTTTTTCATATACATATATATAGAATTATAAATCAATTAATATACACGAACAAATATAAATTTCGTGACTCAAGACTACGATGCAATTAAAATTCATCAATGAATTAACGTCACTTTAATTACAAACACGTGTAAAAATTTTCTAGTCTTACAGACGTTTTGCACATAATACTTTAATAAATTTAATGTTAATTATTAATTATTATTAGATAATGTGACGAGCTAAAGATCGCGTGTTATATTAAATTTTGTACCGCACAGAAACATTATTAAACTTGAAAATTCGACTATTTAAGAATAATTATTCAATAATCCAATAATCAATTAAGCGAATTATCAGAATAGTCTTCGATAAGACAATCGTATGGCACTAATGTGGATTTTTAATTATTACGAGGCAATTATGACGGTGGGTTATGGAAGCGGAGGCCTTCTCTGTGGTTCTGGTGTGTAATGAAGTCGCGCACGTACGTGCTGAGGACTACCAGGTACTGAATTACTTTCAGAAAGTCTTCGAGGTGGTGGTTGGGGTGGTGATGGTGATATGTACCTAAAAAATATTTATTCATTCGTTATAAATTATAAATTATTGATTAATATTTTTTTGTTAATAAATCTCAAATTACCTTCGAGAAAATGACGGCGAAGGTTGATCGATTAAATTTCTTCTTAGAGCGAGAGGGGATTCCCCGCGGCTAAATCGCGGAGGTGGTTCCGGTGAAGGTGCTCGATCACCACCGAGCCTCAATCTAACATAAGAAGCGAATCTTTTCTTGGCTGATTCTTTGGGATTTACCACCTCGATGGGAGCTGTCTTAGGTAAAGGGTCTTGATTTAACTGATGAGCGAAACGTGAAATCAATAATTGAGGACTCGATGGTCCGTGGGAACCAGACGCAGGTGGTTCTGAAGGGTATCTACAATAATTACTAATATTTTTTTTTTATTAATAAATTGCTCTTAAGAATTTTGTACAGATGTCATTAAAGCTTCAATATTTTATTTTTTTATATTAGCATGTGTTTTATTTATATAAAAAAAAATAAAGTTTGCTTTAGTGTCATCTTTAAAATAATGATACTGAAATCAATAGACATATTACAATTTTTTAAATATTTATAACAATTAAATTGTTATAAAAAAATTCCACGTGTAAAAAAAATAAAATTATAAATAATAAAAATTATAAAATTCTGTAAATATGTGTCATATTACATGTACATTCGTGGATCGAATAACTATGGAAGATGTATACGGCCAATTTAAAATCGATAGTCTCTTAAATTCAAATAAGGTAAAAGACCCAGTTATTGACACTGGCCTAGTTATTTGACACTTACAATTTTATTCTAATTAAAAAAATAAAATGTTTTAAAAAAACTAACTAAAATCTCTGAAAATTTATAATTTACAAATTATATTTATTAATTTATTGGAGTTGGCTTTTTTTTTAGTTAAAATAAAATTGCAAGTGTCAATAACTGGGTCTTTTACTTTATTACTTAAAATATTTTATTGTTACTATTAATGTATACTGCCGCTCGGCGTTCTTTTGCAAAAAAATAAATAAATAAAATATTTTTTTCTATCATACCTAATTGATTTTTTATAAAAATAAAAAAAATTTTCAGATGTCTGCTGATTTCAGTATCATTTAAAATATAGTTTAATATAAAAAAATACATATATGAATTAGAATTTTGGGCTATTTTCGGACGAAGACTAGTGTTTTTCTAATTTAAGTCTAAAGATGGATTTTTCATCTTCCCTTTTGATTCGTCCGAAAATAGACCAAAATGCTAATTCATATATACTATCATGTCGGTCCAAAAAAATATATCATAAAAAAATACCTTTTACGACTTATCATCGGACTTCCATAAATTTCATAAGGCGAATGAGTTTGTAGAGAAGCCGGTGGAGTTTGTGTAGGAGAGGAATATTGTCCCAGCCTTTGCTGTACGAAGGGTGAATACTTAGCGGATTCAGTAATAGGCTGAATGACACCCGGGGGATCAACATTCTCTCGTCTCCATGGTGAATAGTCGCGGGTAAAAGGACTGAGAGACCGTGAAACAGTTTGCCATCGATCTGCACTCCCGTCACGTTCATCCAATCTACTATTATGATAGGACTTATCCAGCGAATTGATATCTATTTTACAGACACTGGAGCCATTTGTCGATCTACGATTTTGCTCGATATACTGACGGTAAGGCGAGTAAGATCTTGTCGCCGTAGTCACTCCAGTGGTCGTTGACAATGTATTTGATACATGTACTGGATCTTGCTCATTTGTTTTATTCGTTGGTGGCGAGAAAGGCCTCGTTATTTCTTTGCGTCTCCATGCATACGGGCTGTACGGTACATACGTCGATAATCCATTCTCTGCGCTCGTTAGTCTCTGATAAAACGACGAAAATGTACTGTTTGTATTTTGAGGCTCTTTGGTAACTGTTGCTGCTGTCGTGTTGTTTTTTAGGTAATTCTGGCTCTCCGTTTGATTGTTACGTAAATTTGAAGTTTGCTTTAGAGAAATGTGTCCTGTTACTCGTTGCTGGTTATCATTTTCCGGTAATCTGAAATTAAATTATTTTTATTATAATTACTTCTTTTATTTTTTGATTTTTTTAATCAAGAAATTTTATTAAAATTTTTTTTTAATAAATTTTCTTTGTGATTAAAGTCCTTAATTGATTTTTTTAAAAATAAAATTCAATGCAAAGCAAACTAATTTTGTTTTATTAAAAATTAAAAATTCAATTTTCGGACTTGACAATGAACGAAAAAAATATTTAGAGAAGATCCACGTGAACGCCAGTGTGAAATCCTGCAGAAATCCTGTGCAGTTTTTTTTTTTTTTTTTTTAATGAAATTAAAAGTTAATGGAAAGTTATAATGTTAATAATGAATTTCATGCATAAAAGGAACTTATATTAGTATAAATTCATTAATAAAATTTTTAATTAAATTATTTATGAATTTTTTTATAATTATTTTAAGCAAAAAATTCAAGCATCTCTTTGCTAGTAAATTTATTTTTTAATTATACTGAAAATGTAAATAAAAATTCAAAAATAATTATAAATAAAAATTTCAACATTATTGATACTTAATAAAGATAGTAAGAGAAAGAGATAGAGAAAGGAAGATAGGGAAAATTGATAGCGATTGAAATAAAAAAACTAATAAGCAAAAAATATCACATCACTTAGACAGTCAGACAATACAAAAAAATAAAATAAACAACGAATACTTTTTAATAAATAAAAAAAGATTGCTTACCATGAGTGGGGGTTGAAGGGTGGGATGTGTAACAGGCACGTGCACAAACCAAACAACTCGAAATGAAAATTGGACAGATTGCATATTTCTGGTTTTTTAACTTTTTAAAGATTTTGTGGTGTCTGTTCAAAGGTTGCGGATACTTTTGTGATTTTTGTGGCTAATATAATATTATTATCTTTATTGATTATTTTTTTTTTTTTTTTTTTTTTTTTAACAGTAAGGATGTGTTGAAGTATGTATTTGTGTGGTGAGAGTGGAGGTGAGGAAGCGAAGATGCTACGCTGCGCTGCCTCCCTCAAGCTCAACGCTGCAACACAATTTAACACGCACGGAAACGTTTAAATCGAATTAAACGATTTCATTTGAGCGAATTCTATCGGTTTTTATTTTTAAAAAAATATAAGACAATTTGGTAATTAATATTTTTATTTAACAGCCGGTTTTTATGCTTTGTTATAAAGAATTTTAAATAATACAGCGATCTTTGCAATGTGATATACAAAATTTTTCCTGATATTATTTAAATAAGCCTTTTTATTTAAATAATTCAGTTTTTTTATAGTTATTTCAATTAGTACCACCAGAGTAATTGTTTAATTTTTTTTTTAAGTATATTAATTTATTACAAAAAAAAATTTATGAATGAAAAAAAATATTTAAAAATTTTATTGTGAGGAATGATTATAAATAAAAATAAATTTTCACTGAATAAATATAAAAAAAAAAAAAAATCATTCAAATAAAATGACTTATTTTAAACACTAATTATTGTTGAAAAAAATAATTAAAATAACGAGTTATTTTTTTACAGCAAAGAACAAATTTTTACAAAATAAAAATAATAGTAGATAAATGATATAAAAGAAAAAAAAAATATGTAAATTTAATTACTCGTGGATGTATTTTTAATAAATCAGGATACCTGGTTATTATTATTATTATAAAAAATAAAATACCAAACCAAACATTATTTTATTAGTCGGGAATCTCATGCCGTTTTAAATTTCTAACTATATTCGATTCCTCACTAGAAAAAAAAGTCGAAAAAAAAAAAATTATAAAAACATTCTCGTATCTACATTACATCGTAATTATAATAAATAAAGATCATTCTGTACAATGATAAAAAACAAACTCTAAATCGTTTATAGAAAATTAAAAAAATTTATCTAAGATTGAAAATAAAATCCACTTGTTTCAATGATACTCACCTAGGTTCGAGTTGTTTCATAACTCTACCGAGCCACTGACTTCCAGACCCAGGCAACGAGGGATTAGCGCTGTCTGTTTGAACGTCGTATTTTTTAATAAACAAATGTTCCATCAGTTTATTATATTTAGGCCGTTGTTTGTAATTTTTCGTTAAACAGCACGTGACAAAAGAACGAAATTCCTTTGAAAATGGTATGGCTAGAGGAAGAGCTGGTGGATCTTCTTGTACCACCCTGCTCAAAACCTAATTTTAAAAAATTTTCAATATTATTAAATACGGTAATGGGAAAAAATTTTAGTTATGAAAAATTCATATTATTTCATTAAAATTAATGTAAAATAAAAATTATAATATTATTAATTAAATAATTCATTAAATACACTCTAATTCTAAGTCTTAGTAAGTAATAAAATAATCAATGTAAAAAATTTTTAATCTAATTATTTAAAATTCAAAAATAGATAATAAAGATATTTACTTCAAAATCAGTCTTGCAATCTCGATAAGGGAAAACTCCAGTAGCTAATTCCACCAAAGTTATACCCAAACTCCAAACGTCCGCTCTAATATCATAGTCTGGTTTGGTGGGATCCGGAGGGTCTATTCTCTCTGGCTGAAAATGATAATTTAATTAGCTCTAAATTATTAATTTAGAGTCATCTCCTAATAATCAACACCACCAAATTTTCCATTCAAATTCATTAATAATAATCGACTTTACTTATCTTATCTAATCAAAGCTAGTCAATTAATTATTTCTATAGCAGATTATTATTTTTAAGTTAATTGAAATAAATAATTTAGTATCATATCAAGCATAATCTTTTTTTTAATTGATTTAAAGAATTTTATTGACGTCATAAGCGCGTATTGACGTAAAATTATTTATCTAAAAAGTTGTTAAATAATTACCGCCATATAGGCCGCGCATCCTGCACTTCTGGTCTTGGCTTTGCTGTCAACTAAACGCCCAGAAATACCAAAATCACACAGTTTAACACCGCCCGATTCATCCAGCAAAATATTACTAGGCTTAACGTCTCTATGAATAACTCCATGTGAATCTTTCAGGTACGACAGTGCTTTAACAGTCTGTTGGATAAAAATGAATAAATAGAATAAAATAAATTAAAAATAAAGCAGTTAAATGATAAACTTACTGCAACAGTAACTTTGCCTAAAAAATCTTCGGGTATCGGTTGCCGTAATTTTTTTAATAATTTATCTAGACAAGTGGCCATCAGTTCCATACAAATCCACACATCCGACTCGGTAATAAAACAACCTAAGCACTGTACAATGTAAGGACAATCGTGGGACTTGAGGACCACGTCAAGATCCATAATGATACGTTTGTTTTCTTCAGAGTTACCCGAGCGTCGCATTTGCTTTACGGCAATAACCACACCGCTGGGTTTGTGCTTCATTTTAACGACATGTCCACAAGTTCCATTCCCCAGCTCTCCCAAGTGCTCAAGATCCTTCATATCCGTCTGATACTTCTGCCCGTTTATCGTAAGTATCCCATTCATTTTCATTATTTCCTGGAGTTTTGACTCGACTTCGCTGTCACAGGTCTTCGGCTGTACCATCTGTATTGGTAAATCTAATTGTTTCCTCGGTCGGGTCGGTGTTCCCATATCTCCAACTATTTTTTTTTTTTTTTTTTTTTTTTTTTTTAGAAACAAGTTTATCAGTATGTCAATCTTAGAATATAATGATAATTAATTTGGCAGATAGTTAATAATTTTTCTAACAAATAAATTGTGATAAAAAAAAATTGAGGTAGAAATTTTAAAAGACTAAAAATGAAATTTTTTTAAAATAATTTTTTGAAGCAAATATGTGTTAAAAAAATTAAAAAATTGTCAAGTGACAGCTAAATTTAATATCATTAAAATATGATAATTAATTTAGCAGATAGTTAATAATTTTTTTAACAAAAAAATTGACATTTAGAAATTTTAAAAGACTAAAAATGGAATTTTTTTTAAATAAGTTTTTGGAGCAAATTATGTGTTAAAAAAATTAAAAAATTGTCAAGTGACAGCTAATTTTAATATCATTAAAATATAAGGAATAATAAATAAATAAATGTATTTATTTATACATAATTTTTTTATAATAATAAAGTTAGCCGACGTTTTTTATTTTTTTAATTTGCTTAATTAATTAAATTATAACTAAAAAATATTTTTAAAAAATTGCACTTATAGTTTTTGAAGTTTTTAACAAATGAAAAAATTTTTTTATAATAATTCTTTAATAAAAAAAAATCATCAAACTTTTTAGATGTCGGCTAACTTTATTTATATAATTTTTTTTTTGCATTAAATAAAGTAACTAACTGGTAGATGATAATTAGAGTTTACTTAGAATTGGGAAAAAAAATTTTCTATATACAGAAAAGGGATTAAAATTCCAGAGGAGTAAATAAGGTAAGAAATTTAAATAGAAAGTTTGGAGAATGTCAAAATAAAAAGAGATTAAGTATAAAATAAGGTATTAAAGTATTACGTCAAAAATTTCCGCGTAGTATGTATGCAATAAGTTGTCATATAAATAACAAGACAAGGATAATCAACATAACCTGTTCATGGTATTAATCAAAATATTTATCAGCTATTACTGTATATAGTATCAATAAATAGATTTAAATGAAAATAATTATTAAGTTTTGAGGAAGGTAGGCAGAAATATTAATAGAGGTGTTAAATATGACAGGCTAATTGAAATTATGTAAAAATATAACTGAATATATAGATGATACATACGTTGCCGTGGTCTTCGGGCGGCTGGTGAAGACGTCGGTGCTGAAGAGGAACCCTGGAGCCCTGAACTTGGTGGCACATCATTAACTCGTCTGTCCCGATCCCGAGACTCCGTTTCAGCTCTTAACCGCTCTTGCAAATTTAATATTTTATTTTCTAACGTACTAGACATTATTTTTTTCTTTGTCTTGGTCTTGGTTTTTTATTTTAATTGTTAATATTTTATTACACGCACTAATTCGCAGAACACTATTCCTTGGATTTTTTTATAGTCAGTGTCCAACTGGTATATTTATTAAACAATTTTAACAGACATTATTAAAATATTCAACGATTCTCTTGGTGTCCCAGTATCAGTCTGCTCTTTTTGGCAGAATTGAACTGCACCAAGTGAAAACCCCCAGTGTAATAGAGAGCAAGAAAATAAAATATAACAAGACGGTAGCGACATGTTGGTTGTTTCAGTGTGGTGCCATCAGCTGTCATTTAAAATTTTTCACTTGTACTTGCTGTTGGTAAAGTATTACTTAATTGTTGGTTTATTATTTTTGGGAACAATTAAATATTTTAAAACAAACAAATACTTAAAAAATATTTTTAAAAATTTCGTGGGCTATTTAATTTTTTTTTATGACATTAACTGTAGCTGTCACTTGACAATTTTTTTATTTTTCTTTAACAAATAAATTATGGCAAAAAAAAAAAATTATTAAAAAAATGGACTTGGAGAAATTTAATAAAATTAAAAGTGCAATTTTTTGGAACGAATTTTTTTGTTAAAAAAAATTAAAAAATTGTCAAGTGACAGCTAAATTAAATATCACTTTTTTTTTTATTTTTTTTTTTTTTTTTTTTTAAGAAAAACTACACTAATTTTTTATCAAGCTTTTCATTAAATTTATTGACAAAAACAGCTTTACAAATATTCAATATAATTAATTGTAAATTCATGACACTGAAATTAATTTAGACATCTAAAAATTTTTTTTCAATTTTTATAACAATTAAATAAAAAAAATTGTAATTGCGAATTGTTAAAAATATTTTTTTTATCATAATTGATTTGTTATAAAAATTTAAAAAACTATAAAATGTCTGGTGATTTCAACATCATATAAATTCCCCGCTATCATCCGTCAATTATACAAAATTAAATAAAAAATCAACCATTATAAAAAAAGTCAACTAAGCTGTAATTACTCTCTTGAATATAATTATGCATAGAAATGAATTTATAACGACTAGGTCGGGTGAACGTTAGGTCATTGAGCAACAGCAGCATTAGCTGCTATACTAGGATTATTGATAATTTCACCCAAGCTTTCAAGCAACTCTTTCCTGTAATCGTCAAAGTCACCGTCGACTTCAAAGATATTCTGGTTTTCGATAACATAAAGACAACACTCAGTGTCACGGATCAGCCGTTCGTCGTGAGACACAATAATGACACCGCCTTTGTACCCATTTATCGCGTGCGCTAGTGCGTCAATTGATTCGATATCAAGATTGTTCGTCGGTTCATCGAGAATTACAACATCTGGAGCGTTGAGACACAACTCAGCTAAGGCAACACGCGCTTTTTGCCCACCAGACAAGTCTTTCATCTTGATGGTATGTGCGTGGGAGCTCAGTCCAAATGTTCCTAATTGTTTTCTAGCTTTTTCATAAGGCAAATTGAACAAACGCATCAAATATTCTGACGGTGTTTCTTCCGCAGTTAAATGCTCTCCTGAATGTTGATCGAAACGACCGATACGCTGTAAAATAAATAGATAAATATCATTAATTTTGAGTGTTGTAAAGGAGTTTATTTTAAATAAAAATAAAAAATTAAAAGAACATACCAATCGATGATTACGAATAAGGTCACCTTGTAACGGAGTTAATTCACCTAGTAATAATTTTAAAAACGTTGACTTTCCTACACCATTGGGACCAACGATAGCAACACGTGAATTCAAGTCGATACCAAAATCAACATCTTTGAACAATAATTTTTCTGTGTCGTAGCCAAAGGATACATCTAAAAAATAAAAATACCAATTAATAAGCAACTAGCAACTATGTGACTGCTATGACTTGTGAACTATAAATAAATAAAATTTTACTTTATTAAATAATGACTTTTGTTAAATTGCAATGTACTTTTTTAACTATTGACGTTTTTAAAGATATAAGCTCATCCCGATGTTACTTTCATCGAGAGCTTTCATTTAAGTACCCACATGCATTTTTGATATATTTTTCATATATACATATATATATAATAAATATAAATATATAAAATATATGAAAAATTGATGTGGGTACTCAAATGAAAGGTCTTGATGAATGTAACATCGGAGTGAGCTTATATCTTGAAAAATGTCAATAGTTCACAAGATACAAGGTCATTTCTTAATTATTTATCTAAAGATAGAGTATTTTCGAAAGCAACCTAAATGCTTATCACCATAAATACACTGTTCACAAAATTTTCCTTCTTCTCTTAATAATATAGATAATATAAAATTAATTAAGTGCAAAAAAATTCATTAAACTTACTATGAAGTCCGAGAATTGGAGGTTGAAGTGGTGGTGGATCAGGAAAACTAAATTTGACAACATACTCCCGTGGCTTCTGCAAAAGTTCCTGCGGTCCAGTATCTTCTTCTTGTTTCTGCATTTTAGTTCTATTCTTTTCTTGTTTCCTCGTCAGAGCTTCCTTCTGTTTCTTTTCCGCTTGTTTCTTACTCTGTCCTGAAGCTTTCATCTCTTTCAGTCGCTTTTCCTGCTTCTCGTACAGCTTCATCGCCTCCTTCCACTTAGTCTCGTACATTTTTTTAAACAACGTGTAATTTCCCTTGTAGTAAAATAATTTCTCTTGATCCAAGTGGATGATATCCGTGCAAACGTTGTCCAAGAAACTTTGGTCGTGAGACACGATGAGCAGTGTTTTTTTCCAGCTTTGCAGGTAGTTATCCAACCAAATTACAGCGTTTAGATCTAAATGATTTGTCGGTTCATCCAGTAGCAAGAGTGTTGGTTCAACAAACAGGGCACGAGCTAGTGAGACACGCATCCGCCATCCTCCGGAGAAGTTTTTGGTCGGGCGGTTTTGCATTGCTTTACTGAATCCTAGACCAGCTAAAATTCTGCGCGCACGTGGTTCTGCTGAATCGGCTCCTATTGCTTTCAACTCTTCATAAACCTCTTGTAACCGTGCTTGAATAGCTTCATCACTGTTAGTTTCAGCTTTAAGCTCCAATTCTTTACATTCTTTTTGCAATGATTTACACTTAACATCAGCATTAAGTACAACCTCAACAGCTGGCATTTCATCGGCAACAACTTCTTGTTCACAATAAAGTACATCAATATTCGGTGGAATATTAAATGCTCTATTTGCTATGTGACGCAGTAATGTTGTCTTACCATGTCTATAAAATAAAAAAATATATATTGTAATTTTAAATATAATACTGAAATAAACCAACATCTAACAATACTTGAAATTTTTATAGCAAATCAATAATTATAAAAGAAAATATTTTTTTAAAATTGCACTTACAGTTTTTAAAGTGTTTTACAAGTGAAAATTTCTTTTTTAATTATTTTTTCAATAAAAAAAAATTCTAAAAATTTTTAAATGTCTGCTAACTTAATTTTCGTCTATAATTTATGACACTAAAGTTAGCAGACATCTAAAAATTGTTTAATTTTTTTTATTAATTAAATTACAACTAAAAAGATATTATAAAAAATTGCACTTATAGTTTTTCAAGTTTTTTACAAGTGACATTTTTTAAAAATTTTTTTTGTACCAATTTTTTTATTAAAAAAAAATTTTTTTAATTTTTAAATGTCGGCTACCTTAATTTTCGTCTATAATTTTATTATTATAACAATCAAAAACATTGTTAGATGTTTAAAAACAAAATAATTACCCATTAGGACCAACAAGACCATAACGTCTTCCCTGTGCTATCAGCAAAGTAGCATCAGTAAACAATTGTTTTCCTTTAGCAGCTATACTAAAATTTTCAACTTTAATATCAACAGCATGCTCCAATAACTGAGCACCGCGGGTGAGAGTTTCACTCTGCGACACGGTGAAATTCGAGTCTAGATCACTGTGCCCCTGACCACCAACTTTAGTAAGCATCTCCAGATTTTTCTCATACTCCTGCTGTTTTTTAAGTTTCTTTTTTTCTTTGTGTGATAATTTTTTACCTCCATCCTCGACTCCCATTTCAGAGACCTTGTCGGTGACTTCCTCGAGATCTTTCTTGGACTTGGATGACATATTGGAGCTCTAGTTTAGAATCCAGGAAAGGTAATGATGGAACGCACCTCGTGCTCTGATTACTTCCACCAATCACTGATAACTGTTTCAGATTGTCGTGTGGAGAATAGAGAACAAGCAGGAGAATAAATAACGTGCTTTTTGGGGGTTATGCAGCGTGTAAAGTGCAAGAGAGAAAGAGCGTAGGGCGCCATCTTGAGCAGGTTACACTACAACTACATTTGTTGACAGCTGATCACATTTTTGTTTGTAATTTTTGTGCCCGTGACTCGATCTCACGATCTCACGACGGAAAAAAAGGGTGAAAACGTAGCAGATGACTCTGCAGCTAGTACGTGTTTACAAAAAGGTATATTCTAGTCAGTAGACTTAGTGATGATTCTTTCTGTCTAGTAACGTCGAGTTTATGTCAATGGACTTCTGTGAAAATATCAATAAAAAATAGTGTATGTGTTGAATAATATTTTTTATGATTAAAACAACTCTTTTAATAATCTGTTAATTTGTAGTGTTGAATAGAAACGAGGTTAGTGGCTTATCACGATTATCACGAGGTTCATTACAAAAGTTAAATGATATAAGTTTGACAACAATAATAAATACAATGTTAGTAAAGGAAGAGCCGCAGTGGAATTACTCAGATTCTAATTTTTCGATGTTTCCAGAACTCGAAGCGCTGGGTATGTTTTACATTAAAAATTAATATAATAATTACTTTACTTTATCTTTCTACTTCACAGTCCTCATCAATACTAACTTGATTATTTTTTAACTACATAGTTAAATGTTTTTTACTAAATGTTTGATAAATTTTTATTTTATCTTTTAGCTCAATGCCGCTCATTAAATTACTTATTTGTTTTTTATCACCTCCAAGATCTTGTATTCGCTGTGCTAAAGAATATTTCTATGTTTGTGTTAAAAAAATTGAATACTGATAAAACTACAATTGAAAAATATCCACTTTACTTTTTCAGCAATTTTTTATTAAATAATATTCAAAGAAAACAATACTAAAGTTAGCCGACGTTTTTAATTTTTTTTTTAATAATTAAATTAGAGCAAAAAAATATTTTTTAAAAATTGCACTTACAGTTTTTAAATTGAAAATTTTTTTTTTTATTTTTTTGTAATCATTTTTTTAATGAACAAAAATCTTAAAAAATTTTAAATGTCGGCTAACTTAATATTCATTAAAGAAAATATTTTTCTTTTGCTGCTGAAGTTACGAAATGAAACTAATAATAAAATTGTTTTTTTTTTTTCTTTTTTAGTAATGATAGTAATTATCGAGCAATTTTTATCGGCAATGTTATCTCTAATACTCAGTGATTTTAGAACTTAAAACTGCTCTATAAAAATATTATTTAGTTTGGTATTTTTTATTTCATAATTTTTATTTCCGTAGGTGATTTGAGGATAAATAATAATGAGAATAGAATAGATGTTTTTATAAGTTAAAACTGACCACCTTGTAGATAACAACTTTACGGGACTCATGTATTTTTTTTATTGTATTGAAATGTGTGGGTATAGATCTGTATATACGTGTATGTGGGTATACATACAACTTCGGGTACCTACACAACTATTCATTCTCGGTAGTTAAATTCACCGGTATATGGGCACATTGCATGTACAGTATAGAGAAGTGGAGGTACTGTTGCTGGTTGCTGGTGATATTCCCATCCACATGCACACGGTCACGATACTCCAAAGTTGATGGTGGTGTTGAAGAAAACACGGCAAACTATCACGCCGGGCGGTCACGCTTGACATTTTTAAAATGTTTTTGTTAATTTAATATATTGTTAACAATTACTATTGTTCGTTATAGTTTTATTGTCAACAAGCTTTTGTTAATTGAAGACTTTAATAAGTGATTTTTTTTTTTTAATTTTTAAATAGTACAATTGTGTGGTTTTTAACAATGAAACAAAATACTAAGGGTCATTGTATTTTGAATATGATGGATTTTGATGAACATTCATTATTTTTCGGTAAATTTTTTTAATACATTATTTTAATTAATTAAAAAACAATATTTGTTTTTTTGAATTGATTTTTAATTAAAAAATTTAATTTATTAATTAAAAAAATTTTTTCTTAAATTTATTAATTAAAAAATAAAAAAAAAAATTAATTCTAAATTTGGAGAAAAATTTTTTTAAATTATATTTAAATGAAACTAAATATTTTTTATTATAAAAAAGAATAATTCTATAATTTAACTAATATTAATTAATCGTTAAACTAAATAATCAATTGAAATAATAAATATCAAAAAGAAAAAAAAAAGTAATTTAATTTATAATCGAAGGTGTTACGAAATTGATATACACAGGTGACATTGTTCAAGCTATAACTTATGCACTTATCATAATAAAATACATTGAACCATATATATTATTAATTTAAATATGTATTTCTAAAAGTACATTGAGCATTGTGTTGAATGCTTGTGTCAATTTATCCAAATCAACACTCACCTCTATAAAATAAATTTGACAGTATACAAATAGCGTAAAAAAATATCCATCAAACTTTGTTTATTTAATAAAATTTTAAAAATATAACATTGTCAGCAGTTGAAATTATTTAGTTTAAATAAGTGTTATGATTATAAACTTATAAAATTAAATAATGAAATAAATTTAATCAATTGTGGGATGAGCGGCTCGTGTTTATTCTCAACTGATAATATTGGTAAAGATAGATATAATGCAAGAGATTCGAGTCGTTTAGTTTAAACGATTGATTCTTATATTATACTGGATATTATTTCATAATACAAGAGGAGAAAAGCAAGAGAGAAGAATACAAAGTTCATTGACTCAAAAATCCCCTCGTTCCCTAGCCGGTCGCTTCTCTGTCCCTTCTCTTCTAAACATACAAACGTGACCGTCAAAAGTTTTTCGGAAACTTGTTAATTTATATTACCATAATTTGCCATTAAAGCGAAAAATTCATCAATATTTTTTTTTTTTTTTTCTTTGCAATAATAATAAATTGTGAAATTATCAAACAATCGATTATTTGTTTAAATCTTTTTAAACAATTATTTTTGCAATCATTTTTCAATACTTATTTTTTTTTTTTTTTAGATAACGAGTACCCATTGCCAGCGGACGATTTTTTACAAGCATTGAGTTCTGACCTTGAGATTCCACTACTTTTAAATGGCGAAGGATCGCCTGGTCGCGATGAAAGTCCTGACGAAATAATAAAAGGCGCAGCATTGAATTCATTATCTAATTTTGATAAATTCGATAACGGTTATCATGAATTCGATGATGTATTTTCAAATATTAACGATTCAGGTAATTTTTTATTCATACAACTTTTATTTTAAAATTTCACCACACTGATAGAAGGATTTCTTAGCATTTAAGAAGATTTCTTTCTATTTAAAAAATCATTTCTTAAACATCATTTTTTAACATTTAAAAAATATTTCTTAGTATTTATAATATGCCTTAGTAATTAAGAAATATTTCTTAAATACTAAGAAATATTTTTTAAATACTACACAGAAAAAAAAATTAACTTGAATCAAGTAAATAATTTTGAAGAATTTCATCTTCTTGATTTGAGTAGGAAAATTCTTAAACTAAGAAATTTTTCTTAGTTTAAGTAAATTTTACTTAATTTAAGAATTTTTCATCTTAATTCAAGACAATCAAACTCTTCAAAATTCTTTTCTTGATTCAAGAATTTTTCTGTTGATTCAAATCAATTTTTTTTTTTCAGTACAAGAAATGATTTCTTAAATACTAAGAAATCCTTCTATCAGTAATTTTGTGGACAAAATTATTTTATTTACAATTTTAATTTACAAAAATTAATTAATCAATTTTCAGAATTGGACATCAATAATGTACCTAACAATATAAAACGCGAGCCAGAAAATCCGCATTTTCCTCCATCACCAAGTCCCAGTCACTCGGAATCAAGTAACGGCGGCTCTGAATGGCAACAAGACAATCAATACAGCGTAGCAGCATCAGAAAAATTTAGTTTAGACACACCACCGATATCACCTCCAGAAACAGATTCTCCGCCAGTGTCACCGCAACCAGAACCACAACAGCCATCAGCTAAATTGCCAGTACTTCATCCGGTGAAATTAATTCCGTTGAATGCCCAGGACGTTAATTTGACCCAAAATCGAGCTAAATTTGTTCTCTCTAAAGGCAATGCAGCAAAACGAGTGTGCATTCAAACGATAAAGCAATCAACGCCTTCATTTTCTTCCTCAACATCATCTTCATCATCATCATCCTCATCATCATCTTCATCGTCATCGTCGTCAGTATTATCAAACGGCAATGGCGAGCCGCGAAAAATGATAGTGCTTAGCGCTCAAGATTTTGCGGCATTAACTAAAAATGTTTCTCAAAATCAATCACTAAGACCACCATTAAAAATTCAAACTCTGAAACGTAAACAAGATAGCAACATGAACAGCTTTAATTTACAACCAACCGGTGATTTGAAGCAAACAATTGAATTACCGCAAACAAACCACATTAAAATACTTAATCCGATACCAAACATACCGGTTGTTAAATCAGAACTGGTAATAAATGCTCCACTCGACCATGAAGATGTTAAAACAACAACACCGGCGTTATCGGCTCAGCCATGCACGCCGATCGTTATTAACCACGCTGCTCCAGCGAATAGTCCGGCAATAGCTCCGATTTTGATAAAAACTGAAATGTCGGATATTAATCACTTGACAGCGCGCCAAGAGTCAGAGTTAAAAGCGTTCAAGCGTCAGCAGAGGATGATTAAAAATCGTGAATCTGCTTGCTTGTCTCGCAAAAAGAAGAAAGAGTATGTGACGTCTCTGGAGAGACAAATTTCGGATTTGAGAGACGAAAATAAACAATTAAGGATGGAAAACTCATTATTGAGACATCAATTGAAATTAAATGATGACAATCAATCGTTATTTAGTTCAGATAAATTAAGCAGTTTAAAACATGGAGTTAGTAAGAAAAATACTGCGATACTTTTAGCTGTTTGTTTAGTCTTGTCTATAAACTTACCGGGGTTCAATGGAATATTTTCCTCTGGCAAAAATCAATTAGACGTTTTATCTAATTCTAATTCACCAGCTGTCGTACCAAATGTCAGGCACGGCAGGTCTTTGTTGTGGTCCACTAATATAAATAATAATAATATTAATAATGATGATGATAATAGTATAGAAGAGGCTAATACAACCTCGTCGCATTTACCTATGTGTCCAATGCATCCGATGATAAATCAGACGGAATCTAAGCGGCTTGATTTTGAATTAAGACGATGGATTGGAGAAGATCGTGGTCATGAAAATTGGACCGAGTTGAATGATAAGCAGAAAAAAATAAAAGCCAAGTCAGTCGGTGAATTGTTATTACCAAAAATAATAAAAAATCTTGGCTCTGATAAACTGAGATCACTGTCAGCTAAAGATGAAGATTTAAAGTCGGGTGATAAAGAAATAACACCGGCGAATAACAACGCGCTAAAAATATTCTCGCTGTTTGACGCAATGGAAAAACGAGATACGTTTTATGTTATTTGGTTCAGTGGTGAGCATCTGTTGCTCTCGGCAATGAGTCAAAATAGCACAAAGAGACCACGTATGTCCCTGATATTCCCCACAGATTCGGTCAATAGCTCTTTGGCTCCACCGCCGCCTAATCACGTTACCATGCGGCGTATCGACTGCGAAGTCACTGATACGCAATTAGTACACTTGCCCGAGTCTATTGTCGTCCAGTATTTGAAGGATAATCGCAAAGCTCAGCCCAAGACTCGCAGCAATCCAAGACCATCCGGTAATTTTAATTTAACTAAAAATTATACTGCCAGTGAGTATGAAAGCAAAGGTAATAATCAGTCTTATGCTATTAAAAAAGAACAGGGATTCCCTAATGATACTCCGTATTTAGTTAAAGATAAATTTAATGACTTTTCGGTTAATAATCCCAAAAATTTTGACTACGTACCAAAAAATGTCGACTATCCGGCTGATGTTCCTTCTTATGTTAATAATTTTAACAGAGAGTATGTTAGGAGTGATAAACAATTACGGAAAAGACGAGGCTTGAATCTCTAATAGATATATTTATTAATAAATATATTATTGTAATTTTATTAATTGTAATTCCATATGGTTTTAATTAATAAGGATATATTTGTCTAATTCTTTTAGTTAGACAGGCTGTGTATCGAAAAAAAAAAGCTATGAAAAATTCTTTCTAAGCAGGATTTAAACAAAGAGAATTTTAATTCATTAAAATCAATAAGCAATGACTGATGGCAGTTTTTAAATCCATAGTTAAGTTTAAAAGTGTGTAATATTAATATAAAAAATTAATGTTTATAATGAAGTGCAAATTTATAAAATAATTGCGGTGTAGCGCAAATTTTTAAAGTTTGTTACTAACAATTTTCTTACCGCACATAGTGTTAGGTTTATTGAAAAAAAAAAAAAAATTGTAGCATGTGTAATACAATTTTAGTTAATTATTATTAACTAGATAATTATTTTTAACAAAAAGATTTGTTATTAAAATTACATTCTGTAAGATAATTATTGTTAAGTTCAATTAATAGTCAATGTGTGCATTATTAGGCTAGCATTAAAAATTTCATTTAAAGTTTTATATTATTATTATTATATGTTAAAATGTTAAGAGCACAATACAAAAAATATGAATATTAATATTTAAGTATTGTAATTTAAAAAAAAAAAAAAATTACTTGTTGATTTTTACAATGCAGTTTACAATTTTCCAGATTTCTTGATTGAAGTTTTTTACACTAGTTATATTTTTGTAATAGCATATTATTTATCTTTAATTATTGAAATTGTACATAAAATAAGAGTAATATAATTTGAATAAACTTTAAAAAATATCTATAAAATTCTTGATGTTATTTTAAATCCGGAGTTGAGTTACCAAGATAAATTTTTAAATCGGTTATTGTGGACTTAACAAGCTTGGCTTTAATCGTTGGCTTATTCAGGCGCTTGTGAGCAGTATATCGGTGACATCCACCAAATGAGTAGTAATAATCACCTCCTGAAATTTATTTATTAAAAAATTGAAAAGATTAATGATATGAAGAGATAGGAAGAAAAAAAATTACCTTCGGAGCCAGTAATCCATAAAACGTCAATAGGAGGTACCAAGGACTCAGTTTCTGGATCATTCAACGTCTCCATTAAACTTTTGACTTTCTCTTCATTTACTTCTGGAGGAAACGGTCGTAATAAAACACTCATAGGTACATCATGAATTTCAGCGTCCTTGCTTGAATGAATACTTGTTGAATCCATTTTAGACTAAGAATAATAATTATTTTTTTTATCAATGCAATTATTTGCAATTTTTAATTTTTTTTAATTAAGAAATTTAACACTTAGTAAAAGAATTAATATAAGCAAATCATTTTAAAAAATTATGATACTAAAATTGAGAGACAATTGTCGGTTTTTTCAGATTTTTGTAATTAAATTATTATGAAAAAATTTTTTAAAAATTATTCTATTAAGAACTAAAATTAGCAGGCATTTTAAAATTCTTTAATATTATGAAAAATTCATACTTATTATTTAAATTATAAAAATTAAATCATTTAAAATATTTTAAAAATGTTTACATATTATTTTTTTGTTAAATTTATTTTATTATAATTTAATTATTAGAAAAATCTAAAAAATTGTAAAAAGTCCTTGAAATTCAATATCAAAAAAATTTCACATTAAGAAATTAAAAAAAAATTGAAAGTACAAACTTAAAAAAATATTTTTTTCATAATTAATTTATGATAAAAAATAGTTCAGAACTCTGCTGATTTCAATATTATCAAAAAATTGATTTTTAATTAATGAAAATTACTTACAATGTTACTCTGGTATCTGAATCCAATAACTTTTACTAAATTTCTGACATTAGTCATCACACCTCACGAAATCTCATGCAATCCCATGATTAAATTCTGCGCTTAAAAAATACATACCTATACACACTATAGTAAATATTTCTACATGTAAGTATTTATAAATGTTATTATGATTAGATGGCAGCAGCAGCAGTTGGCCGTATTATTTTTGTATCAGATGTTTATGCGTTGCTACAAGTATAAAAAATTAAAATTTGTTAATTTTTCACGTTATTGTGTCAATTAAAATCAATTTATGTTAAAATAACCTAATAAAATAATTAAAATACTTATTTAAACCACAGATTAGATATTTATTTGCTTATGAGGTGACTTGTTGAACAAAATCATTAAAAATGCCGTGTGAAATGATAACTCTTCAACTTGGCCAATGCGGCAATCAAAGTAAGTGTCTTCGTTTCTTTATTAACTATGAAGATAATTTTAATAATATTTTTTTCAGTCGGCTTTGAGTTTTGGAAGAGATTATGCGCCGAGCACGGAATAAGTCCCGAAGGAATACTCGAGGAATTTGCAACTGAAGGTACTGACAGAAAAGACGTTTTTTTCTATCAGTCAGATGATGAACATTATATTCCTCGAGCGGTATTGCTTGATCTTGAACCTAGAGTTATTCATACAATTATGAATTCCCCGTACTCTAAAGTAAGTCATCTCTATTTATTTTTTTTTTTATTACCGACAGTCTGTCATAGTATAAACTACTAATCAAATTTATTTTAGTTGTACAATCCAGAGAATATTTATTTATCAAAGCACGGTGGAGGTGCTGGTAATAACTGGGCTTCTGGATACCACCAAGGAGAAAAACTACAAGAGGAAATTTTTGATATTTTGGATCGTGAAGCTGATGGAAGTGATAGTCTTGAGGTAATAAAGTTACTAAAATTATTCAAGTTCATATCATTCTCACCAATAGTCCAATTTATGATGATAAGTATTTAAGCTGCATTCAAAAATGATCTATCTCTAGATACATAATTAAGAAATGACATTGTATCTCGTGAACTATTGACATTTTTAAAGATATAAGTTCATCCCAATATTACATTCATCAAGACCTTTCATTTGAGTACCCATATCAATTTTTCATATTTTTTCATATATTTTATATATATATGAAAAATATGTCAAAAATGCATGTGGGTACTCAAATGAAAAAGGTCTTGATGAGTGTAACATCAGAATGAGCTTATATCTTTAAAAACGTCAATATTTAAGAAAGTACAGTGCAATTTAACAAAAGTCATTATTTAATAAAGCAAAATTTTATTTATTTATAGTTCATAAGTCACAGCAGTGACGTAGTGACTGCAAGATTGTTACTCCAAATAAATATTTAACATTCTACTTTTTAGGGATTCGTATTGTGCCATTCAATAGCCGGAGGAACTGGATCGGGTATGGGATCATTTATGTTAGAGTCATTGGCTGATCGATTTCCAAAAAAGTTGATTGAAACCTACAGTGTGTTTCCCAATCAAGATGAAATAAGGTAACTTATTATTTAACTATTTTTATTAACAATAATTTTTTAATTTAAAAATAATAAATAAAAATTATTTTTCAGTGATGTCGTAGTTCAACCTTACAATTCTCTGCTCACACTAAAAAGATTAACTCAGTGCGCTGATTGTGTAGTAGTACTGGACAACACAGCTTTGAATCGGATTGCATCGGACAGACTTCACATTCAAAACCCCAGTTTCACCCAAATAAACAAACTGGTGTCAACAATAATGTCTGTCAGCACAACTACGTTGAGATACCCATCATACATGAATAACGACCTGGTCGGTTTGATCGCACCGTTGATTCCCACACCACGTCTACATTTCCTGATGACTGGATACACACCGCTGACAACCGACCAAGAAGGACAGTCTGTCCGTAAAACCTCAGTACTGGACGTAATGCGTCGTCTGCTACAGCCAAAGAACATGATGGTGTCTACAGCGCTCGACAGAAACGCTTCACACTGCTACATATCAATACTAAACATCATCCAAGGTGAAGTTGATCCCACGCAAGTTCACAAATCTCTCCAGAGAATAAGAGAACGTAAATTGGCCCAGTTTATACCTTGGGGACCGGCTAGCATCCAAGTCGCGCTCTCCAGAAAATCTCCGTACATCCAAAGCGCTCATCGCGTCTCCGGTCTCATGCTCGCCAATCACACAAATATATCTTCGCTGTTTGATCGAGCTCTTCAGCAGTACGACAAGCTGCGCAAACGTGAAGCCTTCCTGGAGCAATTCAAGAAGGAAAAAATGTTCGAGGATAATTTAGACGAGCTAGACAATTCGCGCGAAGTCGTGGAGTGTCTCGTTAAAGAATACCAAGCTGCTACGAGACCTGACTACCTCACCTGGAGCCCCAACAAAGCTGAATAAAATAATTCATAATTAATTTTACTAATTCACTTGCCATAAATCAGTTATTAGACTTGAATCTCAACTAACTTATTGTGACAACATGATAAAGTGCCATGTTGATTGTTAATAGTAACATTCCTGCTTAAAGTTACAGTATTTTTTCTAAATCCAATAATGATTATAATTTTTAAATGTGACTAATAAAATTAATCTGTTAAAATTTACTTTTTAATTAATTAAAAAACAATTTTTTTCACAGATTCGTTGATTTTTTTTTTTTTATTTTTAATTATCATCCTCGGTGATACGAGCGAAGAGAGGTGGTAAAGTTGCTATCGTTACGTATCCTGTGTGGCCTGGAAGTGAATGGGCATGTGATACTGTCAATATTTTGTCTTGTTCAGCGGATTTTTTTTCGATAACTTCTTCCACAGAGTGCTGGAAAAATAAATATTTTACCAATATCTGGGTTAAAAAAAAATGATTAATATTAACAAACCTTTTTCTTTAAACAATCAAGATTTAACTTGGGAATGTTTTTGAAAACGACAGTGAGTTCCTTCTGTAAACACTCGTAGGTGCGAACATCAACGAACCCAGTAGCTTCTAATTGAATGCAAGTTTGCTGTACTTGTTCGATACACGGTGAAAACGAACACAATTTACCGCCAGATTCTTTGAGAGCGTCAACCGCGTGATTTATCGTCAGCCAAGGGTGAGGCAAATCTAAAAACACTGCATCGACTTTGTGTTTGAGCGCATCTCCGAAACCTTCTAGACAAACATCTCTGTGAGTTACTGTTACAAATTCGTCGATGCCATGTTTCTTGAACTCGGCTGTCGCCAACTCTACTCGCTGTTTGTGGAAGTCAAATGTATGCAAGTGACCGTGGGGTCTGATTGTTCGGATTAGCGAATGCGACAATGAACCACTGCCAGTTCCTGTAATAAAAGTACAGATATAATAATAATAATAATAATAATAATAATAATGATACGAAAGTGAGCCGACGTTTTTAACTTTTTTTTTTCAATAATTAAATTAGAGCAAAAAAAATATTTTTTTTAAAATGCACTTACAGTTTTTCAAGTTTTTTACAAATGAATTTTTTTTTTTTTTTTTTAAATAATAACTTTTTCATTAGATGTCTCTCAATCTCATTATCATAATTTATCAACTGTGTTTTTTTTAATAACAACAATTATTGAATGTCTATTAAATTCAATCATAATAAAAATAAAAGATAAAAAACTGAAGAATAATAATCACCTGTTTCAATGACAATACTTCCAGGAACAAGATCCAGCAGATGAATAATCAAACTTATGTCAGGCGTATAAATAATTTGGGTTCTATGAGGAAGAGTTACCGTCCATAATTCTGGAGTAGGTTGTAACACATACGCCCAACCACGTGTCAGTTCTACCTTGGTACCATACTTTTTACCGATTAACGAAGGAATTTTCAGAGCACCGTGGGTAGTTTGAAAGACATTATCAACCAGTTCTCCTTTTTTGTTTACTATTTTGTGCGTAACCTCAAAGCAGTGCATTTTTTGAGGTCCGAAATATAAAACCACGACATCACCTTCTTCAATAATGGATTTAGTTTTGTAAAAACTCATTTTTATTTACAATTTGTTTTTTTTTTTTTTTTTTTTTTGCACGTGTATTAATTTCTGTACATATATATATATATATATATATATATATATATATACAATGATTATTGTAAAAAAATTATAAAATTTGATGCTCTAAAACTGCACGTGCTAAGTCCACGTGAAAACTCAAGTCTCGCACACCAATCCAAAATATTAGATCTAATTGCAATGTATATACTTAAGTCATATGTAAATGTGTGACGCATACACATATATAAGCTAAGAAAACAAAATTTATGTAGATGGCGACTCTGTTTTTGTCTTTTTGAATAAGTTTTCGGTAAGCTTTGCTCATATGAAAAGTGTGTAAGCCGCAAGAAGCACATTTATTATTATACATAAATGTTGCTCACTCAATGCGCCACAGTGTAGAACATAACCATAAAAAAGATTAAAGAGCGCGATTAAAAACCGTAAGTAAATTTTTTATTAATATATTTCCATTTCAACTTTTAATTTTATTTCTAATTACACTTAAAAAATTATAAGTAATTAATACTTAGAAAATTTTTTTATTTTAAATAAATTAAATATGAATAGAGCAAAAATACATTTTTCAAAAGTATTTATTTCATAAATTATTTTTTCAGTATTAAAATTTATATTATTAAAAAAATTTTACTGTATGTCAACATAAATTTGTCATTAATTTTTAATTTTTGTTATTAGTTATTAAAAGACGATGGATGCACAAGCGTCAGGAAGTAAAGATTCAGCAGAAAAAACAGCCGGTATGTCGACCAAAAAGCCGACTTGTATTATTGTATTAGGAATGGCAGGTTCTGGCAAGACTACATTTGTCAATTCAATTATTACTCATCTTTATAAAACTGGGACTCCGTATGGAATTAATTTAGATCCAGCTTGCAAAGATGTACCTTACCCAGCAAATATTGGTAAATATTATCTTCATATATTTAAATTTCATCCAAGCTTAAATTGATATTTAAACATATGATTTAAACATATTTTATTACAGACATTAGAGATACTGTTAATTACAAAGAAGTGATGAAACAATATCGCTTGGGTCCTAACGGGGCGATTGTCACTACCTTAAACTTGTTCGCCACAAAATTTGACAAGGTGATTGAACTAATCGACAAAAGCAACAACGAGTATGTGATTATAGACACTCCAGGACAAATTGAAGTATTCACGTGGTCAGCGAGTGGTGCAATAATAACTGAAACATTGGCATCACAGTTTCCTACAATTATTGTCTATGTTATGGATGCTGTCAGAAGCCACAATCCTGTAACTTTTATGTCCAATATGCTTTATGCTTGCTCCATTCTCTATAAAACTAAGCTACCATTTATTGTTGTTATGAACAAGGTACTTTTTTTTTTTTTTTTTTTTTTAATTTATTTTATATAAGTTTTTTTTATGGCTAATTACTAATTACATAAATATTATTGTAGATTGATATTGTTGACCACAGTTACGCTGTAGAATGGATGGAAGACTACGAAGCCTTTGAAAATGCCTTGAATTCAGAGTCGAGTTACATGAGTAATTTGTCAAGAAGTATGGCTTTAACTCTAGATGAATTTTATCGTGATTTAAAGAGTTGTGGAGTGTCAGCGCGCGAACACATAGGCATTGACGAATTTTTCAATCTAGTTGAAGATGCTGTTGATGAATATAAAACGTAAGTATTAGTATTAAATATTGATTTAATAATAATTTGAAAAGTTTATTTTAATTGATATAATTTATTTTAAAATTTATAGAATTTACAAGAAAGAATGGGATATAATAAAATTGGAGCAAACTGATGAAAGAAAAAAACAAGAAAAGCAATTAGAAAAGGCTGCGTTTAATCAACAATCTCTCATATCAGCGGTGTCGCAGGGTGCTGAAGTTATTTCCAAGGTATCGATAAAAGTTCCAGGCGATGATGATTCTACTGATGAGGAAGGAGAAGAAGTTCAAAAAGGTGATGAGGAAGTTGAAGAAGTAGAATTTTTGAGTAATTTTATCAAAAGTCATCAAAAAGCTCAGAATGATAGACTGGCTAAAAATCAAGAACATTCTTAGTTTAAGATTTTTGTTATTTTAATATTTATAAGAAATAAAAAAATAATTTTTCAAGTAAAAATAAATTAATCAACATGCTAAAAATAAAGAACATTCTTAATTTAAGGTTGTAATTTTAATATTTATAATAAAAAAAAAAAAATAATTTTGCAAGTAAAAATAGTTATTTATTTAAATAGAAAAAATACATAAATTAATCATCTTCATTTTCTTCATCTTCTGCACCGAAATCTTGGGTTTTAACATCCTCATCCTCGCCGAACTGTATCGCGTTGTCAATAGTAATTCTGACGTCTGAAATACTTTCGTCATCGGTGATGTCCAGAGGAGTAAATCTTACTAGACTGTAGCTGTCAATGAGCTCACCGATGGCATTTGTGAGACGACAATACTTTTGGTTCCAAGGATCGTCTTCCATGTCGGCGAGAAGAAAATATGGATCTGGTTCCAAATATCTGTCCAGCTGTTTCTTATCTTTCTTTGACAGTAAATCCGTTTTACTGAGAATACTTAAGTGAGGAATCTCGAGATTGACCATCACGCTGAGTGCTGCCATGGTGCCAGACAAAAATTTAGCTGAATCCACCATAAACTGGCTGTCGAGAAGAAATATTCCACAGAGGCGAAAGTTTATCGATTCTAACATCCCGATCAATTTTTTGATGACTGACATGTGACTGTAGAGCTCTAATTGTCCTGGACAATCGAATATTATGTAGTCACCATCAATATCACCCAATTCGTCAGCTAACCATTGTGAATTTTCGACTAAATATCTAAAAGTGAAAAATGAATTACAAACTTTGTAAATAAAATGATTATCTTTAATGTCATCATTAAATACTTACTCCATACAAAAAATAAGTCCACCATTAGGACCAAATTTAAATTCTTCATCTTCCATGACATCATCAACACTTATCAGCTCTCTAATGTCGACAAGTGGTTCATAATCAAAATATTCAGCAGCAGGGTCTAAGTTAACCACGTGGATTGTTTTGTTTTCATCAGCAGCGTGTTTTTGCATCGCTTGACAGTATGTTGACTGTAAATAAAAAAATTAAAGGATTAAATTTCATTAACATACTTTTAAAAATTGTTGACAATTTTTGAAAAAAAAAAAAAAAAAAAATAATAAATTATAAATTTTTCAGGTTAAAAATATAAATAATTTTATAAATTACCTTGCCAGAGCCTGCCGGTCCCATAACCAATTGTCCGTACCTCATTTTTATTTATTTATTTATTTTTTCACTTTTGTTAAAAATTGTTCAAATATATTTCTTTATTATTAAAAAAATATTAATGTTTGTATGCACAGCGTGATAAATGACAAATAATTAATTTACGCCATCTGATTAAACTTTGAGCGCAATTGCAAAGTTATACAGTAACTCCATCTTGAGGTTTCAGAATTATGCTAAATATTTTTTTTGGCAAATTAAATTTTTAAAAGTTTTATTGTTTTAGAATTTTAAAGATTTATTTTTCTGTCTTAAATTTAATGTCTGAAAAAATGAATATTAATGCTTAATTAAAACAATTTGGTAATTATTTTTATGTCAAGATTAATTATTTATAAAAAATAATAATATTTGTTACAGAAATTTTATCAACAGACGATATTAAAAATACAATGAGACAGAAAATGCTAGAGAGAATAAAAGGATAAAGAGAAAAACGTGCTCAGAAATAAAGTTATAAGTTTTACTTTTAGATTTTGTTACGTTCTACAAAAGGTATATTATGTTTATTTATATAAATAAATAAATATAAAAAAATTTTAACAAATATAAAATAAAAAAGCAAATGAATGTACTTGTTGTAGTTTATTAGTCAAACTAATTCATCAAATCTAATTAAATATTCGCTTAACAATGGGTACTGTTGACTATGGACTACCATCAAACGGTGGTCTTATGCCAGTAAGCTAATTTTATCTATTTATTTATTATGTTCTTAAATAACCAGTCATTAAATACACTTGCTCCAAGCGAAGTCGATGGCTTTTTAATTTAATTTTATTTTTTACTAGCAAATACAAGCACTCATAGCTCCGCCAGTATCAGAAGACTCAAAAGTATCAAAGAATAAGAAAGATAAAGATGAAAAAAGACATCCGTATTTCAAGAGACCTGGCAGAGGTCACAATAGAGACTCTTGTGATGCTTGTGAAGACGGCGGAGAATTAATTTGTTGTGATAAATGTCCTGCTTCTTTCCATTTACAGTGCCAGTAAGTATTTATTTCTACAAAATCTTTACACCAAGCAGAAAATACTTTTAAGAGATTATTTTTACGTCGCTGAAAATAGCAGACGTCTAATTATTTTTTTTCATTCATATTTTATTAAAAAACTCGATTGAAAACATGCACAGTATTCTTTAGAATGTTTTTTTATGAAGATAGAATTTTTTACAGCTGATATTTAATTTATTTATTTAAATTTATGTATTTTTACGATTAAAATTTTATATCAGTTGCGTATTAAAATGCATAAAAATTTATTGAGTACTAAATAAATTTTTTTTTTAAGAAAAACAGTAAATTGACGACTGCTAGTTTCATGATTTTTTTTATTTCATATCATTCTCACCGATAGTCAATTTATGATGATAAGTATTTAGGCTATATAAGAAAATGCTCTATCTCTAGATACATAATTAAGAAATTACCTTTTATCTTGTGAACTATTGACATTTTAAAAGATATAAGCTCATCCCGGTGTTACACTCATCAAGACCTTTCATTTGAGTACCCACAAATTAAAAAATGACCTTATATCTTGTGAATTATTGACATTTTTAAATATATAAGCTCATCCTGACATTACACCCGTCAAGACCTTTCATTTAAGTACCCACATCAATTTTTCATATATTTTATATATTTATATATTATATATATGTATAAATGAAAAATATATCAAAAATGCATGTGGGTACTCAAATGAAAGGTCTTGATGAGTATAACCTCAGAATGAGCTTATATCTTTAAAAACGTCAATATTTAAGAAAGTACAGTGCAATTTAACAAAAGTCATTATTTAATAAAGCAAAATTTCAATTTTTTATAGTTCACAAGTCACATAGTGACTGCGAGGTTGCTTGTTTATATATAATTAATTAAGTAATTATATTAAATAATTTTTAAGTCAAGAATTATTTTCTAATTTAATTTGTATTTATCGATAATTATTATTTTTCAGTGATCCACCTTTAGATGTATCAGATATACCAAATGGTGAATGGATTTGCCACGCTTGTCGTTGTGCAAAAAAAGATCTCAAATCAAGTTCAAAAACTAAAAATAACAATAACAATAACTGCAACAATAAAAATAATAATAATAATAATAATAATAATAATAATAGTAGTAATAAAAAGTCACCACTAGAAGTATTAGCATTAGCAGCATCACTAGTTAATCCACGCGAATTCGAATTGCCAAGAGAATTAAGACTACCAATAACATTTCCCGGTACCGACAAAGTTGACGTAGTAGCTGGTAAACGTGGCAAACACCAAGGAACATCTTCAAATAATGGTAAAAGTCATTGTTTAGATTCAAATTTAATGGTACCATTGCCAGCTAGATTGTGTTATGAGTGTGGCAAGAGTTGTAAACGTGCTCCACTTATAGCTTGTGATTACTGTCCATTATATTTTCATCAAGACTGCTTAGACCCACCGTTAACGGCCTTTCCAAGTGGTCGTTGGATGTGTCCAAATCACCCGAATCATTTTATTGACCAAAATCTGCTGCAATCATGCAATGCGACAGAGCGGTTAAAATTGTGGGATCAATTTGCTACGCGTAGAATTGACCAGCATGCGGTTAAATTGGAGTTTTTACGCAAAGTACGAGCTGTTAATCCACCGTTTAGAGTTAAATTGACCTCTAATGGCCGGAGCAAAGTTAAAGTACCGACAATGGTTAAGTATTATTATGCTAATCCAGTAGAATTAAATACTATAAACTCGTACCGAGTTAAAACACTTATAAGGCCGCATATTGAGAACCCGGAAGATATAAATAATGAAAAAAGTAAACAAGTTAATGGAGATGACAGGCGTGATAATTGCTCAAATAAGTCTAGTGATGATGTTAAAGTATCTAATGATAGTAAAGAAGACAAAAAGGAAGATGATAAGACAGAAAATATGGAAGTTGATGACGAAAAACCACTAGATCAATTAAATGATAATATTTATACCGATAATTTTAAACAAAATTTAAGTCATAGTAATTTTAGAACCGGCCATTCTATCAAACAAGGAGTTCAATTGTTAGAGCGACCTGTTCTTGAAGCGTTAGCGCAACAAAGATTGGAGCAAATATTGAATCCATTTCACGAAGACTATCGGATAGTCAATGACCAGTACGAAGCCAGAGCCGCGCTGTTTCCGCTGAGCAGAAAGCCTGGTCCTCCGGCTTTGATGGTCAGCAGAACTATGACTATTGGTACTGGGGCTAACTGTGACGTTTTGCTGTCCAGTTATGGGAACTGCGATTGCGTATCGCCGAAGCACGCTGTTATTTTTTTCGACGACAGTACTAAGAGATACGAATTACTGAATTACAGCGAGTACGGCACCACTGTTGACAATGTTTTTTACTCGTGTGATTGCACTAGCTTTTCATCAAGACGCAGCAAAGAGGGAGATGTACTCCCGGACAATTGGAAACCATATGGAGCATTAAAAGATTTATCGAGTAATAAATCTAACGGAAACAAAGTGTCATGTAAATGTTCAACAGATGTTGATTTTGAAGATCTTAACCAAGTTTACACCCAAGCCGGCTGGGAAGGCAGTGCTACTGTTGCTCATGGTTCTATTCTTACATTTGGGTGTCTTGTTTTTGTTTTTAGTACTGTTGCTGTGCAATCAAAATATTGAAATATCCTTTTTTAATTAAGCAATTGATATTTTTTTTTACGAACGATATTTTTGATTGCCAATTTTTGTTTTACTCCGGAATGATATTTTACAATGAATTACTTGTATATATTTAAAGAAAAAAAAAAAAAAAAAAACAGCATTTTATATTAATTGTTCTGGATATTTTTTTATAAATTTACTTAGAGGTAAATTGAGATTAACAATAATGATGATAAAAACGAAAAAAATCCTGTTTATTATTATAATAGTAAAGTAAAATAAAATACCTAATACTCATTGTTATTTCGTCTCGTTGCTTCAGGTACAGTGCAACGACTAAAGACTATCAATACTTTGTTTATTTTTTATAATTATATCTGTTACTATTTTTTTTTTATTATTATTGTAATATTAAATAGCAATCAATCCAAATTTTATTAAATCACAAAATATTTGAGTTAATGTGATATGTCGAATTGAAAATTAAAAAATTATGGCGACTATTTATTTGAATGTTATAAAAATTTTTAAAATGCTTAATTAACTTGTGACATAAAATGACAAAGTAACAATCAATGTATTGGTATAAAGGGTTGCTTTTTATCACAGACTTATTGTAATACGTCTCAGCCGCCAAGTTAATAAAATCCGAGATTTTTTAAAAATCAACTCGTGAATTCTTTTTTGGGCCATAATTTTATAATTGTATTTACTATTTGTAAAATGTTTAAAAAATAATGTACATATTTACATGTATTATTTTTTTACGGTATTTATATAAGTTGTAACTTTAAAATTTGTCATGAAATGTGTTTTTTTTTTTTTTTTTTTTTTTTTTTTTTTTTAAATTAATTATTATTAAAAACAAGTTGTAACACTTTACAAATAGCGATTGATTATACTTAATAAATTATCTACGAGTTTATGCGGTTTGTAAATATTTTTATAATTATATAGATTTGTTTTTTTTTTTTCGTTGAATTATTTATCTAGAGGAATACATTAGCAATTGTTTGTTGATTCTTCTAATTGTTATTTAGTTTACACCGATGAGAAAAAGTCGATCGAGTGTATGTAAATTGAGTCACCTTTCACATGATATTAATCGTATCATTAACAGTCGCAAGATTCAAAATAATATTAATAAAAATTATAATAATATATATTAATAATATAATAATAATTGTATAAAATTAGCTATTAAACGTCTGAAACTAGTGAGCACAATATCTATGACACACATTGAAGCTTTCTCTCATTGTATTAAATAACGAGATCAATCACACTCGTATTTATTTTTTTTTGAATAATTTTAGTAATTCAATCGTTTATTATTAAATTATTATTCAATGTCCGTTGATTAAAAATATTTCGAAAATCGCTAAATATTAACTTTTTTTTTAAATTCATTTTTAATAAAAAAAATTAGATATTAAAACGTGCTAACAACATTTTTTCCTATGTTGCTTGGTACTTTTTCTTAAATTAACCGTTTCGTTTGTTTGTATAGCCTGACGTTCTTTACGTTCTTTTTTTGTGCGTAAAACTTGACGTGTTATCGCCATAAACATCTGAAAAAAATAAAAATCAATTTTATTTATCATTTTACAAATTTTACTTATCATTTTATAAATCATATTGATTATAATAATGATAATAGCAACAAAAACAAAAACGGCCATTCGGCAGCCAAAATGGAAGTAGAAAAAAAAAAAAAAATCAGTGTAACAGCAAATTTCATAGATAAACAACGTTCAATAAAGGAAGAAAAAAAATTAATGTACTTTTCAGTCAGTTTTGTATAGATAAAACGGCTGCAAGAGTGAAATTTCTTAAAAATGATTATAAGATGGATATTTTCTGCTTTAGAAAAATATTTAAGCTTAATTTCTCAGTTTTCAGCACTTAAAAATTTTTTAATTTTATTTAACAAACAAATTTATTTCAAAAAATTATTTTTAAAAAATTGAATTTAAAATTTTTTAATATTTCTTCAAGTCAATTTTTTTTCAAATCATTTATTTGTTAAAAAATTCATAAAATTATGAAATATGTGCTAAATTAAATAACATAATATCTCGACGCGTTCAAAAGTTATTTGAAGAAGTAGTGAAAATAATTTTCAAAATTTTGAAATCTGTAATTTCTAAACCTACTGATCGATTAAGCTCACATTTGAACTTGACTTTCGTAATAGTCTATAGAATAAATATGTTGAGTTTCATTGAAATATAGCAAAATTTATGAGGACAAATACTAGTAATTAATTAATACCTCTTCAACATTAATATTATCTTTAGCAGAAGTTTCGAATAATTGGATGCCCATTTGGTTGGCAAACCGCTGAGCATCTTCTGTCAAAACGACTTTGTGATTAGGCGCATCATTTTTGTTCCCAACTAGAACCCTGTTGACAATATCGCAATTGTGCTCTATTTCATGCAGCCATCGTTTAACATTTGCAAACGAATCGCCGCTGGTCACATCATAAACAACAATAACACCATGTGTTCCTCTGTAGTACGTTGACGTTATTGTACGAAAACGTTCTTGACCAGCGGTGTCCCAAATTTGTAACTTAACTCTCTCACCGTCGACTTCAACAGTTCGGATTTTGAAGTCAACTCCTATGGTCGTTATGTAGCTTCCATTGAATGTGTTATCAGCGAACCTGAGAAGCAGTGAACTTTTTCCGACTCCTAAAAATAAAAAAAAAAAACATCTAATTAATAATTAAAAATAGTTGAGAGCCTCTGAATAATGGATAAAGTTTTATTCATCATTGCACATATTATAGAATTTTATCAAGGGCAACACAGACAACCCTTTTATTTATCTATTATGAATCATGACTCTTGATAATGCGGAAGGCAATAATTTTATTGCCTGCATCATTAATTTTTTATTACACTAACCGTTAAAACATTTTCCTATCTCTTGCTCAATGAACTTGCTCTTATCTCAACAATAAAATAAAATTAATAAAAAAATAAAATAATTACCACTGTCTCCAATAATGAGTAACTTAAACAAATGATCATATTCTCGAGCCATTTTAATGAAGAATCTCCTTGTTCTTTGGTCCAGCAATCTCAGTCTCACGAGTATTTAAATATATATATATATATATATATATATTTATGTATGTATGTATTTTGTATATATGTCTACAAACCACAATATAAAATGTATAAAAAAATTATTTAACTAAACTGACGGAAAAAGCAACTAAAATAATAGTTAATAAATTATAAATAAAATGAGTTTCTTTGTTCAAAAAAAGTCGGTACTAATACTAAGTGTAAAAAATATTTTTTTTAATGTACGTTTAGTTTCTCCGTCAGGTCATACACACAATCTCCAGAAAGTTTTTGACACTTGCTACACTTGGCTCGTTGTTTTAAAATCACAAGATCGCCATATTTTACTGGATAAGCGATATCACTCTGACCATTTCATTATTATATTATTATCACTATTGAGAAAATGTATTCGTTATACATAACGCCCACATCGACATACTTGTTTTACTCTTCTTCACTTCAATCTTTAATATGTCTATACACACAAACATACACACATAAATATATTTCTCCTTCCTACATATATAATACGTATATATGATATGTATATACTACTAAGTCTTTTTGTTCACAATTTTTAATCCTCAAGACCTTAAACAAGATAAAAAAAAATTATCAACTCAAATTTATACACTGGATAAATATATTTCAAAAAAATATGAAATTTACTTTTTTTTAATTAAAAAAAATCACCCAAAATTTTATTTTATTTAAAAAAAATAATTTTGACAGATATTTATTATTTAATAAATTAACTTATAATTCACGTGTTCAATTTACTGACAATGGAGATAACAAAAATAAGTTATAAGTAGACCAGAAAATAATAAAATGATTTTCGTGTTATAACAGCCAAAAAAATAGTATATAGTATGATCATTCATGCTGTTATATACAACGTTATAAATCCAATGAATATAAATTTATTATTATTATTATTATTATTATTATCAAATATCAAACATAGCGTACTGTACTATATTATTTTACAATTGTATTAAAATACGTTGAATATACACCTATTATAAATGCATAGGGGTATGTGTAATGTAATAAAATGTACTATAATTTTGTCAGTCAGCCAACTTCAGAGTTGTCACAGTAAGTGCAGGTATCGATAGTAAATCTCGAAATAAAAGTATGTCTTTATCTCTTCAAACTGTTGGAATTAAGGTTAAGCTTCTGTTTTTAAAATAATTATTTAATAATTGACAATTATTTAAAAAATAACAACAAATAAAAATGAATAACGCACCGATACCAAAAGACACCCAGGTAATTTTTTTTTCACACATTTAATTTATAAATAAATAATTTCATAATACCGGTTACATCATTTAGCACATACAAAACAATAATTAAATAAATTATTTATATTAAAGTTAGCAGTGTCTTAACAATTTAAAAAAAAAAAAAATTTGTTCCAAAAAATGATTTTAAAAAATTGCATCTTTTAATTTTTTAAATTTCTACATGTTAATTTTTGTTTCTAAAATTTTTAAAATTATTAAATTAATTTTCATATTATTTCCAGGACTTTCAATTCAAACAATCAACAGTGCGCCAAGTGAGCGAAAGCTTAAAAACTGTACCAAGCGGTTGTAACTTGATAGTAGCTGACGCCAAGCGTGGATTATTGTACGTAGCAACTGACGATAGATTGACAGTATTAAAAAGCGACTGCGACACAAATCCAGATTGGAGAATCGACTACAAGCTGCCTTACCCTATATCACGCTTGTCAATCAGCTGCGATTACTCTTACCTAGCTGTAACATTCAGCAGATCAACAGCGCACATTTACAACGCGAGCTCATTGTCAAAAAACTCTCTGGAACTGATCCACGAGATCCAGTTGTCCCGCTCGAGCCAGAATGTGTTTGCATATGACCTGCGATGGAACCCGGCGATACCAGGTATGTTTTGCACAGTGGCGAGCGACCACTCAATCGGGACTTTTCAGGTCAAAAGCGAGCAAAAGACAACCGTGGGAGTCGTAGCATTAGAAATAATCGACAGCGTCGAAGCTATGTGCGTCGCCTGGAGTCCTAAGGGCAAGCAATTGGTGGTAGGCTGCAAAAACGGGAACATTATTCAATTGAAGCCAGAGTTAAAGGTGATGAGAGTTATTTCTGGTCCTTCACCCAGCATTGGCCAGCTGATTACCATTCTTTGGGTGAGCAATTACCAGTTTTGCGTAGCTTACTACGACAGTAATGAACGCCGGGTTGATGTGCTGATCGTTGATGCACCAAAAGGCGCTGATGCAAAGCCAACGTTTACTAATTACGAAGATATTACCTTCGGAATTCCGGATAACGATGGAGAGTACTCTCCTAGGTACTATTTTGACTACATACCTGAGTGGAATTTGATTATAGCTGCTAGCAGTAGCAGCAGTGAAGTCGCTGTTCTAGGATCTCTTAACAATGGCGTTAACTGGGAGCAGTGGCAGCTTATTGACAGTGGAAGAGCTCAGCTTCCTCTAGTTCGCACCGTTGAATCTTACCCAGTTGGCATGACAATTGATAGGTCGTCAATTACTATCTTACCTTGGGGCCCGGAGAGCACACTACCTCACCCGGTTCCAGTTTTGCATTTATTTGGCACTTCGGGACAGATTGTCAGCTTTCATATGGTTAACTTGATGCCAAATTGTCCGGCTTTGTGTTCACCGCCTTCAGAACCAGTCAAGGTAGATCAAAATACCACCGCTGCATCGGAAATTAATTTTGTTCCTCATTCTGTAGCTACAAGTACTCCCAGACCAAAACAACAGGAGTTCATTGAGAGGCCTAAGGTTACTATACCGTCTCCGAATTTTTTTAGTGAACCTGTTTCTGTTAAACCAGTTTCTGCAATTCCAACCGCACCTGTTAGTTTGCAAAATCCACCGGGAAATATTGAATTGAAAATTCCTAAGCCAAAACCGATTGAGAAGCCTGAAATGCAAAAAACAGAATTCAAACTTTTACCTAAACAAGCACCAGCTCCAGTTTTAGCTCCAGCTTTAGCTTCTGCTTTAGCTCCACCAGTAAATCCAACAATTATTTCTTCTATACCAGCTCCAGCTCCAGCTCCAGCTCCAGCTCCTTCAGTAATTGAAAAGATAAATTACGATGACAATTTATGCTGGCGTGCGTTCCGAGAAGAACAGATGCATTTTGAGAAAGAATTGCAAATAATTCTCGAGCCACGAGCTCTAGACATCGGTACTGATGAGGAACGGCAAAAATTGATTGTTCAATGCGAGGAAGTTAATAGTTTTATACAAGAATTGAACGAAACGACCAACAGTTTGAGCAACGAGATATCTTATCTGAATTCGTTGTTACTGCAATCGTTTGCGTGGTTGGAAGAAACCAAGTCAAAGCAGTCAAGTGGTAATGTAGCGCGCGATCATCATGACAAAAGTAAAATAAATGAATTGCAAAGACGCTTTGCTCATCTTCAGTCGCAGTTAATTCAAGCGATGAAGGTTTTGGACGCACGATGGGCTGACAACGAAAAGCTGGAAATGGCGAAGTTCAAGGTTCCTGGTTTGGAACAGATTTATCAGTGTCTCACGAGGTACGATCAACTTATTCAGGCCAACAAGAAACGCCTGGATGAGCAAACGAAGAAATGGAAGGCTCTGTCTCGGGGAAATCATATTTCTCAGTTAAACCAGTCGCTTTCAAAACTAAATATCAGCTCTAATTCTCCCGGAAACACCGACGGAGACATGATCGAGATGCGTTGCAGGACCATCGCTAACAACACCCGGAACTTTACTGCGTTGAAACAATCCAAGTTACGCGACGTCTTGCTGCAAACAGAGCCACGTATTATAAAGAATGTTAACCCGTCGAACATTCACAGCAGATTGGAAGCAACTCTTTCGGCTTTGGTGTTGCAAAATACTGTGCCTCCAAAGAAAGAAGAAAAAAGCACATCTACATATTCGAGTACTCCTCCAAGGAAAGAAGAAAAAAGTACCTCTACTGCTTCTACTAGTGCGCCAACTAAGATAATATTTTCATCAGTAGCTCCTCCAGAGACTCCAGTGTCTAAACCAGCTGCCAAACCTGCTGTTCAAAATCCTCTTGCTTCACTCAATCGTATTGTAGCGAATCTCGGATCTTCTCAAGAAACTTCCAGTCAAAATAAAAGCCAACCTTTTTCTTTTCCAACCAACACTTTTTCCTCTGTTTTCGCAAACAATCTCACGACTCCCAAGACAAGTAACGATAAATTGAACTTAATTGGTGGGCCAACATTTGTTATCAAGAAAGTGACTACTGTACCCAGTATAACTCCCGTGCAAACACCACCAACAACAGCAGCCAGTTTTTCAAAACCAATACCAATTTCATTCGGCTCGCCTGAACCAAAATCTGAAAACTCAGCTCCTAAAGAAAGTACAAAGCCAGTGATTACTTTTAAAGCCAAGGACACTCCGGTGACTCAAAGCCAACCATTGTCTTTGTTCGGATCAAACATCCTTGATAATAATTCTTCAACTAAAGTTAACCAACTCGTAACAATTCCGCAAAACCAGCCAACAAATCTTGGATCTAATATAAGCTTATCATTAAAAAGTTCTCTTCCAGCTCCAGTGACCAGCACCAGTCAGCAACCACTCTTCAGCTTCGCCAGCCCGACTTTGACTACCGCAACTCCTAAGACTACTCTAACAACAGCGCTTTCTGAATCCATGCCGGAGTTTTCTTTCGCTTCTAAACTGATAGACACACCAGCTTTATCCTCGACAATTTCTGAGCAGTTTACAACAACAACAACAACAACAACAACAACAACCACTCAATCTCTCGACTTGTCCAAGCTATCCAGCAGCTTTTCACTTTCTAATTTGATGGCTGAAAAACCTAGTTCAGTGCCAAGTACGACGTTCTCTTTCAGTCAGCCGCCTGCTACTTCAACTGTATTAAATTCAGGAAAACCGGCTATAACTGTAGCTTCAATTGTTCCCGTAAACGTTACCGTCAGTCTGCCAACTGGAACGACTATTGAAAAACAACCGACAACTACTCCAGTGTCTACTCAAGCCTCTTCAATATTCAAGTCTTCACCACTGTTATCTTCAAGTCTTTTTGGAGGATCAACTCCATCCACTCCAACTTCTATATTCGGTGGTGCGGCAGCCATATCAGTCTCGCAGGCACAGCCCACTTTGCAGGATAGTAACAAAGTAACTTCAATTCCAACTTCAACAGAAAAACCAGCTGCTTCAATTTTTGGTGGTCTATCCCAATTATCCTTCGGACAAAATCAATCTACGGGGTCCAGCTTTCCAGGATTTGCTGCTACTACTACTACTACTACTACTACTACTACACCAACTAGTTCATCAGCAGAAATTAATTTCGGTAAACCTCCTACAACAACTTCAACTGGATCATTATTCAGACAATCTTTACCAGCTGTAACAACAGCGACAACTACACACTCCTTCGGTTTATCAGCAGCTACTGGAGCGACTGGAGCTTCAACATTGTCATTTGGACAATCAGCAGCTGCATCACCTTTTGCTCAGTCTCCAGCAACTCCTGCTGCAGCAGGATCACCTTCATTATTCGGACAATCCACTGCTGCAGCGCCTACTGGAATAACTTCTTCACCATTTGGTCAACCTGCTGCTCCAGCTACTTCTGGAGCATCACCTCCATTTAGTCCTGCTGCTCCAGCTTCATCTGGAACATCACTATTCGGACAATCCAATGTGAATGCTACGACTGGAGCAACTCCATCGATCTTCGGTCAATCGGTATTGTCACCTCCAGCAAACACTAAATTACCACCAACTACTGCACCAGCAGCACCTAGTTTATTTGGAGGCGCGCAAAGCCAACCAACTAGTTCTCCCTTCGGTGGAACTTCATCTTTGACTTCAATGTTTGGATCCACGAGCGTCAGCTCCGAATCAACGACACCTGGAACAGGAATCGGGACGACTGGTTCTATTTTTGGCGGAGCTGCGTCAAATACACCTTCATTGTTCGGGTCAGTTTCACCTGGAGGTGGTTCAATATTCGGAGGAGCTGCTGCGAAACCCGCAGCTTCGGCGTTTGGTAATGCTCCAACATTCGGATCACCTCCAGCTATGCCTACTTCTTCAGCCTTTGGAGGGTCACCGACTTTTGGCTCAAAGCCTGTTTTTGGTTCCCAGCCATCTGTTTTTGGAAGTTCGAGTCCTTTTGGTGCTGCGCCGACTTTTGGGAGTAACCCTGGAAGTGTTTTTGGATCTGGAATGCCCGCTGGTCCACAAGATGGGTCCATGTCTATGGGAAATACCACTTTTGAAGCATTAGGTGCTCAGAATGGAGGACTTTCTTTCAACAGCTTGGCACAGAAAAGTCCTACACAAGACAAACCAGCATTTTCCGGTGGAAGTTCATTTACTAGTTGGCGATAGTTAAAACATTTTTTTTTTTTTTTATTCATTTTTCTGTCATTATTATCAAATAATTTTTTATTTCAATTTAAGTTACAAGTTTTAAGATTGTTTGAAAAGGTTCTGCTCATGTAAATAAAAAATAAAATTATTTGTATTTCTTTTTTATTTATTGTTGTTATAAAAATATTAATTACAACATTAAAATTAATTACAATATATTTTATTATATAAGTTTGAATTGTTACAAATTAAAAGAATACAGAATTATTTTATATAGCTCTTTTGATAGGTTTAGGTGCAATTGACACCTTAGTTGGTTTACACAGTTCCAAAATATATGGATCATCATTCGGTGAGTATGTTGAAGTATTTGAAGATGAGACAAGAAGAGCTATAGATACTTCAACATTGCAAGCTTCCATCCAGACCTGGTGAGACAATAAAACAGTTGTTTTCAGTCTGTAATCCGTACCTTCGCTATTTTGTGGTCTCAGATCCGCTTTTTTTGGCAGCAATAATTGTACTTGTTGATCCGGATGTCGCAGTTTTATTCTAATAGTACTTGGGTCTCGTAGGTTTAATATTTTAGCCGTAAGCGGAATACCTAGGATAAGTCCTCCAGTAAATTTTAAAGCAGCATCGGCGTCTCCTCTTGGTTCCTCAATAATTGCTCGACATAATTTAGTAGATACTGACGGCCTGGGCAATCTTTCTTCCCCACGAGCTGGCAATGTTGTCAAAAGAGGTAATAGTAATCTTGATAGAGATCCAGGTTTAGCGTCTGCCATAGAGGGAATTTCCATTACTAACGCTCGTGAAAATGGAGGCAGCTTTGACGTATCTTGTGGCAGCGAATCAGCTTCAGATAAAAATTGTCTTGCCAGAGGCAATGCGCTACCTGTTGCGCTCTTTGTAATTCTTATCAACTCGACAGCCAAAGCTTTCAACCAAACGTCGGTAGCGAGAGTTATTTCATTTTCTTCTAGTCCTACAAACAAATGTTGAAGTCTAAAAAAAAAAAAAATAATTAAAATTAATAAACAACTAAATAATGACTTGTTAAATTGCACTGTACTTTTTTAACTATTGACATTTTTAAAGATATAAGCTCATCCCGAGGTTATACTCATCAAGAGCTTTCATTTGAGTACCCACATGCATTTTTGATATATTTTTCATATATACATATAAATATATAAAAAATTGATGTGGGTACTCAAATGAAAGGTCTTGATGAGTGTATCATCAGGATGAGCTTATATCTTTAAAAATGTCAATACTTCACAAGATAAAAGGTAATTTCTTAATTAATGATTTTTGCCTATCCTCTTAACAATATAGATTAAATTTACTCAAATAAAATATTATCAATACTTACTGTTGAACATTTTTCAGCAACAACAAAATATTACTATTAGTCGAAGGCAATGTGCTTATTGGTGTCGCCTCAGTTTGTGATTCAGTTATCTCTTTAACCACAGACCGCAGTAATAAAAGACACCTGACATACAGCGCAGTAAAATGAGCCGCACCTTCCATCTTCCTATCCATTTCCGCAAGTCTATCAAGATCAACCGCCGCAGCTTCCAGTAGTTGTACATAAACTTTCCCACCAGGTCTCGCGTTTTCAACTCCAGCGACCATTCTTTCCAAGAACTCCTGGCCTCTTTTATCGTCTTTCTCATCACTTACATCAATACCAGGCGCTCTAGCCAACGCTGGTCTCAAACGAGGCACCAAATGCGGCATAGTGTCTCTCAAGTAGTGATAATGCTTCGCAGCGTGCTCTGAAAAAAGCGCGTGCATGCTCGGACAGTGCAAAGCCGCATTAAAAATCAGCACCAGGACACTTGCATACGAGGGGTCATCCACATCCGGCTCCGGCGTGTCAAAAAATGGGTGTCTTCCTAATAATTGCGGTACTAATGGCAAAGTTAAATACGGATGAGAAGCTCCCAAGGCTGCAAGACAACTTCTGATGCTGTCCTTGTCCTGGGGGTACCTGGTCAAGTTATCAATCAACCTATTGACGCACATATGAAGGCAGTTCCTAGTAGCAAGTCGACTGGCAGCTAAAGTTGCATGCAAACCTTCTCTGACTTCATCAGAAAAGTCCTCCAGCGCGCATAAAATAGTTTCTAATTGGTCTTCTTGAAGCGTGACACTCGTAGACATTTTTCTCAGCGACTCAATCGCTTTTATCCTAACATCCTGGATCTCGTCGTTGAACATGTCAACCATGAAGTCCAAAGCGATTCGCGCGATAGCTGGCCGCTCTAGAGACAACGTACAGAGTGACTCTACAGCTGCTGTGCGAACTTCTAAAAATTCATCTTCAAGTCCGTGGATAAAAGCTCCGCAAGAAGCGCTGCGCTCTTCTATTTCAGAGCCCTCGTCTTCAACCCGCATCTGCTTTTTATCGAGAGCTTGCTCGATGTATCTGCTGGACACGTTCTTCATTGCTCCCATCAGGCTCATCGCCGTGGCACGGACTCGCGGTGATAAATCACCAATCAGACCACAGAGTTTGGAAAACGCGCTGTCTATCATTCGCGTGTCTTCACCGTCAGTCCCAACGATTATTTCTTCTGGATACTCCACACCCAGCATCCAGATCAGCTTCAGAACAGCTCTTCTTACTATCTCATAATCATCACGCAGCGCATTGCAAGCTTCTGTAAAAAAATTAGGAGTTAAACGACACCCACGCTCGGAATGAAGCTCAGCCATTGTTTCAAACGCTGCTGCTCGAACTCTTGGATCCTGGGACCTTGCGTAGTGACTTACTAGAACCAAGGTGTCGTCATTTGAGTTTAGTGATAGGTAACGTCCGATTATTGACAAGCACCGGGTCTGTACTCCGTGCCAGGTGTCTGATAAATGTTCTCGGGCGATTTTTAACACTCCTAGCCGGTGATAGTCTCCAAGCTTTAGTAATGTGGACAAGCCTTGACTTATCACGCGATGGGATTCTTCGTTCTTTAGCAGGCGAGAAGTTTCTTCGATTATTCGAACTTTTTCCGAGGACTGAGTTGTCACTTCTCCTAGCTCTGCTAGCACCCAGAGAATTTTTGCTCTCACTGCCGCTTCTGTTTCTATTCCGAAGCGCTCTATTAATTTAGTGACTGTTAGAGGTACGTCTTCCGATGACATCCGGGATAATGTGTCGGATATTCGGACGAGTAATTGCAACGCGTCATTTCCTCCTTTGCATTTTTCCAGACACTCTACGTATGCTAGAGCTGAACAACCGTCAGAGCCATTTTTTGTGCTGCTTGTTGATTGTAATCGAAGTGTTCGAAGACGTTTTATTGGAGGCTCTCCGGTTACTACCTAGGGTTAATTAATTATAGATTATTATTTTATGTTATTTATTATAATTAACATCAAGTATGAAAATTAAATTAGCCGAGATCTGAAAATTTTTATTGAAAAAATTGTTACAATAAAATTAAAAGAAAAAATTTCACATGTAGAGAATTTCAAAAATTATACGTGAAATTTTTTTAATTGCAATTTAATTGTTGAAAAGAATAGAAAAATTTTTGAGCTAACTTTAGTAATAATACTAATTATCCGACGTTTTTAATTTTTTGATTTTTTTTAATAATTAAATTAGAGCAAAAAAATATTTTTAAAAAATTGCATTTTTAGTTTTTCAAATTTTTTACAAATGAAATTTTTTTTTTTTATAATTTTTTCAATAAAAAAAAAAATTCTAAAAATTTTTAGATGTCGGCTAACTTAATTCACATTATAATTAACATAAAGTTAGAAGGAAAATTTTATGACATTATGAAGTTAGCTACTTGACCATTTTTTTTAAAGAAATAAATTTGTTCTAAAAAGTTATTTTTTAATTTTTAAAATTTATACTTGTCAATATTTTTTTTTATATAATTTATTTGTTACAAAAATTTTTAGAATTATTGAATATCTGCTAAATTAATTTTCATAAAATGTTACATTTAATTTAGCAGTCACAATTTTTTAATTTTATTTAACAAAAAAATTTCTTCCAAAAAATTAATTTAAAAAAACTGTATTTTTAATTTTTTTAAATTTCCACGTGTCAATTTTTTTGCATTATTTCTTTAAAAAATTCTAAAATTTATTAAATATCTGCTACTTTAATTTTCATGAAAATGTTTAATTTGGAAAATTAAAAAAAAAAAATAAGTTGTATACTTACCTGGCTTTGATTGAATTCTGCGAGGACTCTTTTTTTCATTAAAGCTGCCATTATAGATACTTATTAAAATTTTAATAGACATTAATTACATTATATTATTTATAATTTGATTATTAGCAATGATTATTGTTCAAAATTTTTACACATTTATAAAACTATAAAGATAAATTTTGTCTAAATGTCAACAGTTAACACAAAATTAACATAACCTTTTAACAAATTTAATTACTAAAAAATCCGGTAGACACCACCACAGCACCACGTGCAACATCTTTTTTGATACAGTAAATTTCTACTTCATCCATTCGTTGCTCAGAAAAATAAGCAAAATTCTAACTCTACTCTTGAAATTATAAAAAGTTATAAATATTGATGTTATTTGTTAAAATCATTAGAATTATAAAACATAATTAAAAAATGTTGGTAAGAATACCTCAAGCTTCGCTGACGACTGCTCTGAAAAACAGGTAATTTATTTATTGAAAATTCAATTACTTAACCTCTCTTATAAATAATTTTTTAAAGTAAATCATCAACTTTCAAAAATTAATTTATTGGGACAAGTATTTTGCAAGGTTTCTATTTATTTATTTATTTATAATAATTACAATAATTTATTTTGCTTCTAAAAAGCTGTTACAGTTCTGCTCACGTTAAATACTCTAACTTGTTACAAAAATGCGGGTTTTCATCTCAAGGATCACCGGAAAATTTGCAAAAAATTTCGCAGAGTATAACTGGATTCCCTCCACTGTCAGAGCCAATATTAAATCTGCCCAAGCCGATTTATTCAACAGCTAAGGAGGAAGATCAGACAACGCAGATAAGTGTCTTGTCAAATGGGCTGAGAGTTGCGTCAGAGAATAGGTTTGGGAAGTTTTGCACTGTGGGAGGTAAATTTATAACACTAATAAATTAATTTTAATTTTAATTTATTTATCTAATCACTTAAAATAATGAATAATTAATATTTTCAGTGCTAATTGACTCAGGACCTAGATTTGAAGTTGCATATCCAAGTGGTATTTCTCATTTTCTAGAAAAACTAGCTTTTAATGTGAGTACAATAATAAAATTAATTTTATATTAAATATATATTTTTAAAATTATTTAATACTCATCAAGAAATTAATTTTCATTACTAATGTCAATGAATTACTATGAAAATTAATTTAGCAGATAGTTAATAACTTTATAGGAATTTTTTTTTTTTTCTAAATAAATCATGTTAAAAATAATTAGAAAAAAAAAAAATTGACATGTAGAAATTTCAATAAATTAAAAATGACAATTAATTACTTTTTTTAGTCTACAAAAAATTATGAAAGCAGAGATGAAATAATGCTAACATTGGAAAAGCACGGTGGTATATGTGACTGTCAAGCATCTCGAGATACATTTATCTACGCAGCATCTGCTGAGAGTCAAGGTTTAGATACAGTGACCAAAATCCTCGGTGACATAGTCTTGAGGCCAACCATAACCGAGGATGAATTAAATTTCGCTCGTCAAACTGTACAGTTTGAATTAGAGACACTGCATACTCGACCTGAACAAGAGCCTTTGCTCATAGATATGATCCATGCTGTAAGTCCTTCGAACTCTCCTTTAATTATTTTATTAAAAATAAAAATCAACACTTTCAAAAATTGTTACAGGCAGCATATAGTGATAATACTCTAGGACTTCCCAAATTATGTCCATCAGAAAATATTGGAAAAATAAATCGGAATATTCTATTCACGTATCTGAAAAATTATTATACACCCAAACGAATGGTCGTCGCTGGAGTTGGTATTGAACATAATGATCTAGTCAATGCAGTTAAAAAGTAAACATTTATTTATTACCTCAAAAATTATGTTTAGCAATTTCATATTTTATTTTTGCAATTTACTTCAGGTATTTCGTGAATGAAAAACCTATCTGGGAGCAAGATAGCAGTCTAGCTTTGGATAAAATTAACACCGTGGATAACTCGATAGCTCAGTATACTGGAGGATTAGTCGTGGTAATTAATTATTTTAGATTTAGTGATGAAATATGATTTACAAGTTGGTAATTATTTTTATTTAATTTTAGGAAGATTGTAATGTACCAGTATATGCTGGGCCCAGTGGTCTTCCAGAGTTGTCACACGTCGTAATAGGGCTCGAAGGATGCTCTCACCAAGACCCAGATTTCATTTCGATGTGTGTCCTTAATATGATGATGGGAGGAGGTGGTAGTTTTAGTGCTGGTGGTCCTGGTAAAGGAATGTACACTCGTTTGTATACAAATGTACTCAACAGGTAATCTATCATATCATCTCATCATATCTATCATATCATTTTCACCAATAGTCAATTTATGATGATAAGTATTTAGGCTGCATTCGAAAATGCTCTATCTCTAGATACTTCATTAAGAAATGACCTTGTATCTCGTGAACTATTGACATTTTTAAAGATATAAGCTCATCCCGATGCGTCAATAGTTAAAAAAGTAAAGTGCAATTTAACAAAAGTCATTATTTAATAAAACAAATTTTACTCAATTCTAGGAATCACTGGTTGTACAGTGCTACAGCGTATAACCACGCATACATTGACTCGGGTCTTTTTTGCATCCATGCATCATCAACACCTTCACATGTTAAAGAAATGGTTCAAGTTATCGTCAAAGAACTAGTTGCAATGGCTGGAGATATGACTGATAATGAATTAGCAGTACGTAAAAAATTACTTAAAATTATTCAATTAATTAGTAATAAAATAATTAATGATTTATATACAAAAATTTTAAACCATAGAGAGCGAAGAAACAATTACAGTCAATGTTATTAATGAACTTGGAGCAAAGGCCAGTAGTTTTTGAAGATATTGGTCGCCAAGTACTCGCCACAGGAACAAGAAAACGTCCGGAATACTTTATTCAAGAAATCGGTAAGCCCATAGTTTTTATTATCTAAAAAAGTCATTTTTATCTAAAAATTTCTTTTTGCCATTAGATAAAATCTCAAAGGACGATATTCACAGAGTAGCTCGTCGCTTACTCAAGTCTCCACCGAGCGTAGCAGCTCGCGGAGAAATCAAGAACACTTTATCACTCTCAGAAATCCAAGCTGGCCTGCTGGATACTCATGGTCAAATGTCCGGAATAATGAACAGACTGTCAATCTTCCGTTGATAGTTCAACGACATATTCAATTGGATTTTTCCTTTTTAGCCAACCAATAAATACATTATCGTATTACTTTACGTTTAATTGATTGTAAAAAAATTTATATCTATTTAATTTAAGTAATAAATTTTCGACGCCTGTTTATTTTTAACATAGATTGAATTCAATTAGAATTTTTTTTATCGTACTCACTGTACGTGTATATTATGTTTAAATAAATCGTTAATATTTACCTAGAAACTTGGTTATTATTTTTGAATTAAATTAAACCTGCTAATCGATAGAACGAGGTGTTATATATTTGGTTAAATATATAGATAGGCAGTTTTGATAACCACAGGCTTCCTCTTGATAACTTCTGGTTGCCTAACACACGAAACATCTCATTGTCCCGACGTCACATTACTACAAATTCCGTAGTTTAGATCGAGTGACGTAAGTGAAGAACTGCTCACACGTCATCATTCATAGAATTCTTTTTTTTTTTTTATAATTTAATTAATCATATTTTATTTTAAACAGTCTTCTGATTTCAAATTTTTTGATTCTAACAAAATAATCATCATTTTTTTAAAAGCTTAGATATAAACTACAATTTATGATAGTAATTTTTTATAAAAATTAAATTTTTTTGTCAAAAAAAATTTGACATGTAAAAAACTTGAAAAATTCTAAGTATAATTTTTTTTTTAATATTTGGTTGCTTATAATTTAAAAAAAAAAATCCAAAATTGTCAAATGTCTGCTAATTTTAGTATCGTATTTTTTTTTTATAATTTAAAAAATAAAAGTTGAAATTATTAAAAAAAAAAACATTAATTTTTATAAATTTTCTGTTGATAATTTAAACTAAATAAATGATTTGATTATTATAAAAAAAAAAAAAAAAACTTTATATTTATTTAAATTTCTTCTTGAAATTTATTTTACCAAAAATTTTAATCCTTCATCCAAACCAGCAAAACGCTTGGTTAAACTTTGAAACACAAGCGTAAACGGATTAATTAAAAAAGTCATGGGAATAGTCGCTTGGTAATGTACTTAATTGCCTCAAACGTGAAGCATATTTCCTAATCAAGGTCACATGTGCTCAGGGAGGTTGTCAAAAGCTGAGATCTAGTCCTGCGCAGGATGTCACGAGGGTAGTTTTTATCTTAGAGAAAGTTGGCGTACTAACCCTCCGGAGAGCAGGAAATGTAAAGGATAATTTCATCGACAGCTTTCTGATCGTCTTTGTAAACAGGAAATGATAAAAGTATTCAAGTATTTGTTTATAATATATTTTTAAACCAAAAAATTTCTTTTTCTAAGCATTAATTAATAACCATCCTGATTTTTTCTTAAACAAAAATCTATATTTATATAAAATTATAATTTATAAAAAAAAATCAATAAAAATTTAAATTACATATTTTATAAGATGGGTTTCTACAAAAGAGTATAGGAAAAAGAAATTTACATAGCTTCCAAGTCATCATTAGACAAGCGAGCAGTCATAGATGATTCGTACCAACACGTGGAAAATCTTTGAGTGATCCCAGGACTTCAGAGACTCGTAGAAGACTTTAGACTGTTCGAAGATCATAATTACCTGATCGCTAAGGGTGTAACATCATTCAAATAGTCTAAAATATTATATATTAATTTTTCATTTTCTATTGAGGTTCTTTCACCAGCGAATGAATCGGGAATTTCAAATGGGATTCATTCAAACTTGAAACCATTGGTTACGTCGTCGTACCAGGGAGCAAGGAGTACTACTAAGTTATCACGGGTGTCCTTAAATTAATTCAGTGCGCAAGTCACTGTCATGATCCTGACTATGAGAAGATTCTCTAACCGTTGGATTGTCTAACCGCCTGTTCCACTCGAGGGCGATAAGTATGCGTTTCGAGGAGAACCACTTTACCTCGAGGTTCCTTAGTCGGAAAACTGACCTGCATCAACTAAGCGCTCCGATTGGTCGAGCAAGACCCGGCAAGCGATCTCGTTGGCTGTTAAATTTGTCTCTCCTTTTATCAATGAGCTAAGGAATTTAAAAAGTATCTTAGAATTTTTTTACGCAAAGAAGATTATCTTAGAAAATATTTACTTTTAATAATATTCCTCTTACCAGGACTCCAGGATCAGTGGATACCTTTTTTAGCCCAGTTGATATTCTTTATTCATTTTATCATCGTCTCTGGAAAAGTATTTTCAGAACCAGGATTTCATGGAATGCTAGAAAATTTCAATTGATAATTGTTAAAAAGATCAAAAACAAATATAATAGAGAAGAATGAAAGGTCCTTTTGGATATCCTGACTCATCAGTGTCATGTCACTCATCAAACGCATGGCGCCAGAAGTATTCCCTACACCAGGGTGCCATAAATCTAAAAAGCTCGCTGCCCAGGAATTAATAGAGCTTAGATAGATCGAAAAAAGTTTATTTAACATCTTAATGAATAGTTTATCCAATCGATATTTTTATAAATAGAAGATGGAACAAAACATTAATTACCGTGGATCAATATACCTTTATTGCTGTAGCCTGCGGCTTTATAAGTATGGATGTATGGAGGTATATAACAGTGAGTGTAGGAAATTGGGTAGCTTTTGGGAAACAAATTATTTACTTATTAGTAATGGAGGAGAAAAAAAGTTGAATTAATTTCAATTCGAGCTTCAAAGCACGACCTTATTTTCTCAACAGGATACTATGAATTCACAGAAAGTTCCTCGGTGTGGTATATGTATAGTTTTATGGATCTATATGTGCTTGTTAAAGGACGAAGGACGCATGCTTGGTTTCATTATTTCCTTTGGATCCTGCACATGGGAAACAAAATCAACGAATTCGTAGAACGCTTGCGCGATATTTGCTTTCGTTTAATTTTTACACTGATATAAGGATTTATTTCTATAAAAAATATTTGTTAATAGTTAATAAATCATTTATTATAGATCTTAGTATTTAAAATGATTTGTTTGTATTTAATAAATCTAATAGTCATTTATTAAATATTAATTTTTTTAATAAATTTTCTAATAAATGATTTTTTAAATATTAACAAATATTTTTAACTATATAAATAAATTTTTCTATTAGTGTATCATTTACAATTATTTTATTAATATTTTTTATGATTGTTTCAGAGAAGTTTAAATAAATAATAAGACTAAAGAGAGTTAAAATATTAATGAAAAATTAAGTTAATTCAAGAGAAAATCATTTTGAAGAATTAGATATCATTTTTAATTAATAAAAAAATTATTGAATCAAGTAAAATTTACTTGAATTTAGAGCAATTTTTGAGTTCAAAAATTTTTCTTCTTGATTTAAAATAATTTAATTCTTGAAAATTGATGTTTCTCATTTTAAGATTGTTTCTTTTAAGTTGAATAAATTTTTTATTAATAAAAAAAAGGTTCTTTGTAATTTTAACTGTATAATTGTCTTTTAAATTATAAATTTTTGGACTTTTTATGTTATTTAAAAAAAAATACAATAAAGATTTTGCGTTTTTTAAAGTTACACACAATAACTGATACAGTTCAGTTCAAACAGTAATTTTAATTGCAAAATTTTTATACCTGATTCTTTCTAGTATTGCTGCATTTTTTATAACTTTTAGACCTCAATTTCAAGTATTTTTCATAATAAATATATTTATATTCAAGTATTTTCTATTAAAAATTAAATTTTTCATCAATTTGATGGTGGACAAACTTTTTTTTTAATAAGAAAAGTTAAAAAAAATTTTTAAATGTTAGTTACTGTGTTTTGAAATTGGGCAGCCGTATAAATCAATCAAAAGACTTGTTTTATCGCATCTGAATTAAACAAAAAGCCGAAATACATAAAAATATCTTGTTAAAGTAAACAATAAGATAAAAATTTAATTTAAATTTAGAGTTTTGTATCAGCGACGACGTCCTTAAACTTTTGCCGCTTCAGGCATTTAAACCCTTAAGCTCGTCTTAATTGAGGCCAAGTCTTGTTATCCGCGAAAGAGTTACCACGAACAATAGACGAAACAATCAGCTAACAATCGTATATCACATCAGCAACCGAAACAAAGGAATAGAAGGAACCAAGAGTGTTCTTCATTGTTTTACTTTTTATTATTTTACTTTTTTATATAAAAATTTAATTTAAGAATTCAGTCGCTCGTGTTACCTTTTTAATTACTATCAAAATAAAAACATCACAATAAATTTACCTCCGCAAATAATAATTACTTTAATAAATAATTATTAAAATAAACTTGAAAACGTAATTACGAAGCATGAGGTAAATTATTCTAAATATTCTCGTGTATATAAACACTCCAATTACTGCGTAATTAAGGTATACATACTGCGAATAAATAAATTAAATTTTAAAGAAAATTATTTTTCGTCTAACGTCTGAGTGCACGATAAAATTAATTCTGCATATTTACAGTTTTATCAACTTTTTTTTTTTTTTTTCGAGATACCTCTAAAAAGTAAATTCATATAGATGTTTGTGTGTATTTATAAATATTGTTAGGCACTGTGAATTCGCGCGAATTTATACTCGCATTCTCAGATGCACCATCCAGCAAATTAATTAGATACGTGTCAAAAAACATCAGAGTGGTACTACTCAGCGTATAACTACACAACCAACCTCTGATTCGCTTCCTATATAAGCAAGTTTTTTTTTTGTGACGTTTATTTTAATATTAATTTGCTCTACAACACTTGAAAAAAATTTTTTTTTAAATAATAATTAAACTTTTATTTATTTTAGTCTGCAAAGTTATCAAAATTTGTTTATCTGCTCTTTATTTTATTTTCAATTTATAAAACATGGTATATATTTATAAATAAATTCATTTATTATAATTAATAATTTATATGATTTCTTCTTTAAATAAATGATACTACATCATATCATTCACTTTTTTACTTATAAATTTTCACTTATTTTATAACAATAGTATATTTTATTATAAACTAGAACATACTTTTGCATTTTTTTATAATTTTACACGAAGA